ATCTTGATAGTCAGCAGGATTTCTTTTTGCGCAGGCTAATGATCACAATGCGTAGGATGGTTAGGGCTAGTTAATTCCAGATTTACTTCCAGTCAGACGAGATATTTTTGAAATATTTGTAGAAGATTGTTGTATTCTTGACTTTATACAGGTGCATCGAGTGACGTCCTAATCATGGATGACGACATAGAAATCCCTCAAAATGCTGATGATCTCAGTCCTGCAAAGCATCCGTGCTCAAAATTTTTCGTTCGGGTCCGTTAAATTTCCATGATAGCTTGTATAGATATTTGTAAGGCAGAAACCTAATAAAAAAGTCTTATCCACCAAAACCTCAGTCTATACTTTTGAAAAAAGCACTCACTTTTGAAAAAATAATTGTGTCGAAAACTCCGACGATATTTAGTAAGGGAGTCGTCCTCAACTACAAAATCAAGAAGCTAAGGAAGGAGTACTGTATTTTTATTCGCAAGCTCAACTAAAATAGTATTAAACTTGTGTCAGGATCAAGATCAACAGCATTCCTGAAGAAACCCGGTTGTAAAACGGAAAATCTTCCTCCCACCCACAATAGACGGCGACTGCCCGTGGCAAAGGCCTGGGTGTAGCTAGGAGTGGCTATCTCGATAATTCAATGAAAAAAGTGCAGGATGGAAGTGCTTGATACTTGACACTTGAGCCATGAATAGGCCGTCCTCACTGGTTGTGTGGGATCCAGCACAATCTCTACTTTTCGGAGATTTGCTGGCTAAGCCATTGTGGTTCCCTGGAATCCCGAGGTCAGTCTGGCCAAAGTCTGCCCCAGGTCATCACCACCACAGGCAGTCGCAGCCCTTGTGGTTCAAAGGAAAATTTACTACTATGCGACTTTATTACCAGGACGGTGATGCACCTCGGTATTGGTTTACTTTTAGCTAGGCTTCCTGATGGAAACGTCGGAGTCTTTCTCAGCTTGGGAGACCCTGCCGTGGGGATGAATTCCTCCGCTGTACATCGCAGCCGGACACCCAGGAACACCACCCAGCCACGATAAGGCGGCAAATCGTCAGGAGAAAGGTGGAAGTAAATATCGTAAATTTATGTTTATCCGTGTTCCACCGCCTTCGCTAATGATTTCTATTTGAATCGAGAGCAACTGGTGTACGGCCATTTATTACCTGCTGTGATTATCTTGATAGTCATGCAATGGTTACCAAGAAAGTTGCCACTTCGTAAGTTTGAAAGTTAAACACTAGGCGCCTCAGTTTGTTCGAAAGACACGATAAGCACTGCAGCTTTTCGTATCATACGCTATAGTTTCATTTCTTGGTCAAAAGATACTTATACATAGTCTAATGAGCACCAAGCTTGGTGGAGCTGCCCAGTTACTACCGTACAATATTAAGAAACACATAATTTGTGAAAAATTTCGTCCATGCATTCTACAATAGGGTGAAATTGAGCAATAGTTAGAGGTGTCACATAATATACACGTCACCATTCTTTCTATGGCGCTCTTTCGGTAAACGAAGCTCTCTACCACTTCAGATTTCAAGTGAGTCCGTTCCTGAGAGTTGTCTGGGAGGATAAAGGCACTGACTCGATACATCGGATACCTCCAAAGTCCAGCCTAAGCATGTACCCAGTCACCTCTATGATGCTACGAATTTTGTCGAATGCATGGCATATTCCTTAAACGTTGATAGATGTCAAACAAGCGCTTTTTTCCGTCCCTGGATACTTTGGGATACTAGTTATTTAAATAAGGTTTTAGGTTGTAACAGTGATCACATGCCTTCACATGATTCTAAGACGTCGAACCACAGCAATGGAGGACGAGTTGCTACGATGTCGAACGTTTTCATTTATTCTTACTTGTGCCCCAAATAGTGAACTGGACAATTTCGCTGATCTCGATAGGAAGGATGTTAGTTCATGAAATATTATTTTTTTTATTTTGATATTATAAGAGCATTAAATTATATAAAACATGAGAGAAAACAGTAAGTTTTATGCTTACTGCAAAAGAACATCTTCTAAGAGGCATTAAAATGTTATAATACCATCATTTTATGTGCAAAAATGAGCTCAGACTCAGAAACATACGAAATACAGCGAACTCTATAGTGCGGATTTCTTAAAAATAGAAGACAAATAAGGCTAATGCTTCTGATTGTGAATATATTAAAAGAAGTCATATCCAAAAATGTTTGAAGTGTACTAATACGCTGTATGAACAGATTTTACAATATGTTCTACGATGGTTGATGTTCGGTTCGTTCCCGACACTATCGCTTCTGGTTGTGCTTTTCACTGGCCCACTGATGACGTTATGGCCACGTCTATCTACGAAGCTGATCATAAGCCCAACACTTATGCACGTGTTATGTTTATTTTCGCTGGTATGTTAGAAATTTTTAGGTATTATTTTTTCCTTGCGTCAGTGATAAAATTTTGGTCAGATCGCTTCCATTGTCGACGACGACCTTCAATCATTTTGGGTCTGAGTTCGACTTTTCCTTGAGGAATTTCGCCTTCGTCATGAATGTCGCAGAATGTTAATCGAGGCGACTCTCCATGAGTCATGCGATAGCTGCACTAGAGTGTCCCTAGGTAGAATTGAAGGAGTGAGTTGGGTCTAGACAAGTCTGATACCAATTTCTTTACCCCGAAAGAACAACAGTTTGGTGAGCCTGTTGAGTCGAACCAGTACATTGCTCGTGAAGAACGGTACCACTGCGACAATAAATTCGTCTTCCATAGTGAAATTCAAATAGTCGGCGACCCATAGTTGGCCCTTGCAGGAACTGTTAGGTTTTTAAACATAATTCCAGCTTTTTTGATGACGATGTTATCAAGAAAGCAGAGGTTCAGTAAGAGGCCTCCTTTAGTGCGTGTGCGCTTCTCGTCCCAGTTAAGAGACTTGAACAAAAACAGTGCGGGGTTGAAAACTGTTGGCAACACTTTATAATATTTTTTGAATTCCTTTATCATTTGTATGCTGGTGGGCTTTAGAAGAGCTTTATCATTGTGGTGAAATTATAACACCAATCCACTGCTCATATACTTGGCGATGTTTGTCAAACTGGTACTGACTAGGAAGCGTTCATCATAACGCTTTCGAAAAAAATTCCTTTTCGTTGTTAAAAAAATTGCGACAAAGGGAATGAGGGTATATTAACAGCAGACTTTTACTATCAAACAATTTAAATGTGGTCCAAATGGCAAGTTCTTCCCGGAATTCTGTGTGCTTGATAGGTTAGGCTTCATCAAAACCTCGCATGAACAATGGGATGACGATTGCAAGGAGCTTATGTCTAGAAAACACACTGTAAGCAAACCAGACGAATGTTACAAAGGCACCTTCAGTTATGTCCCGCAGTGTTGCTCAGCTTTGGAGCCGTGGAGCTGTTCACATCTTTCATCTCATCACGGAGAGAATAACGGAGTATCATTTACTAGCACAGACGTTGCGGCCTGGTATGAGAAATGTAGAAGGGAAACGATTGAAGTGAAACTTGATATTAACTCCATGTCGTGGAAGACCTCGTATTTACAAAAAATGGTCACGAATCGCCTAATCGTAATGTTAAGCCGCTGGTCGCTGGGTAGGTGCTGTGCCAGTTTGACCTTTTATCCTTCGCATAGTCATAGTAATGACCATGTATGTTTGTAAAAGTGTGCTTAGATGAATGTTGATTGTTAAAAGTTGGTTTGCACCTATAACATAGAAGCTCCCAAGTCGACTACGAAAAGACATAGCAAACTATACACCGTTATGCACGTCGACTAGCGACAAATGTTAGCTTTATGTGTATACTTTCTTGCCATGAACAATAAGAATATTCGGTCTCATATGGAAATCGTGGTGGTATGCGTGTCTGTAGAGTGCGCCAATATGCCCAAGCAAATCATGTGTTTATAGAATTCTGGAACCTCTCATCAGAAGTGGTATTTGTGAGCTGCATTCTGCTTCATCCATAGCCTTATAAGTCGTACTACCTTAAACCGTTCTGAACTGATATTTAGCTATCAATTTCCTTCTTATTGTCATTGCAGTGAAAACACGCTGCTAACTTCTTGCCCGACAACTGAGACGGATTTGGCAATTTTTAAGTTGTTTCCCTCCCAACGGTTTACCGCCTCATCGTGGCTGGGAGGTGTTCCTGGGTGGCAGACTGCGATGTACAGCGGAGAGATTCCTCCACCCGGCAGGGTCTCCCAAGCTGAGAAGGGGTTAGGCGTTTCCATCAGGAAGCCTAGCTAAGAGTAAACCAATACCAGGATCCACCACCGTCTTGGTATCAAAGTCGAATAGAGGTAAATCTCCCTCTGATCCACAAGAGCTCCGACTGCCTGTCGTGGTGACGACCTGGAGCGGACTTTGGCCAAGCTGTCCTCGAGATTCCAGGGAACCACAATGGCTTAACCAGCAAATCTCCGAAAAATGGTGATTATGCTGGGGCCCGCACAACTAGTGATGACGGGCCGTTCAAGTATCAAGTAAGTAAGTAAGAAGTTGTTTCTGTCAAGATGTTAATAGTTACTGCTAACTAAGGACTTCAACGAAGACGCTGTCCTCTCCAGACTAGATTTGGTGAGCCTGCTAGTGGATGACCTTCCCACTGTACATCATAATTCGCAAGTCATGGAGACGTCAACTTCAAGCATTCAACTTAAGACAACAACTCCCTGGACCAACACACAACAAGTCCAATCCCGTGTCGTACACATGTTCCCTAGTGTTCTGAGGTAGCTTGAGATAGATTCTCCTCAAAGGCACTTGCTATAAAAACATTCGACAATTTAGACTCAAGATAGTAAAAGGCATGAAAAATGGTTAAAGAAAAACCAGCTCTCTATCGTTGTGCTTTCAGTTCTACATGTTCATGGAATCGGTGTTTGAGTCGTTTTCGTTCATCTACAGCGTTTCAAACGCCCACTCAAGCTTAACTGCTCCATGGAGCACTTATCTACTGTCATCACTGTACACACTCATTCTATGGTTTTTCTTTCTGAACTTCATCGTCAATATTCAACTTGCTGAGTTCGATTGTCGGATTGCACGTGAGATTGCGGCTGCGATTGTTGACGTCAACGACGACGATGTGATCGCAATTCCAAACTAATAATGCTGTTCGTTTTCTTTTCTTGATGTCGATCTGAAATGATCTTATGTGTTGAACAATGCTAGCACCCCAGAACGAATAAAGTTTTATAAAGAGCTGAAAACGCGTTCTCTTCATTAGTTCGCAGTGTTATTCATTGATCGAAATATTTGATGGTGCAATAAAGTTTCTAGATTGATCATTGATGTGACGTCGAACATTAAAAAAAAAAGAAGAAAAAGGCGAACTAAAGCATTTCTTGTAGTTTCTAGGTAGCTGCTCTTCTACAAAAATTGCAACATAATAGATCTACTCCATAAATACTCATGTCTTACTTACTTGGATACTTGGATGGCTCGTCCTCACTGGTTGTGCGAACGCCAGCATGATCTCCATTATTTCGGAGTTTTGCTTGCTTAGCCATCGTAGTTCCTTGGAACCCCCAGATCAGCCAGGCCAAAGTCTGAGAAATCGATACCATAGCACTAGATCGATAGATTCTCTATGAGAGAAGAGCAATAAAGTCTGAGTATAATCCCGATATGATCTGAGAAGGGGTACTTTTCTGCATATTACATTTTACAAAAACGATAGATGCGACGAGTTCACTTACTTGGATGCTTGGACGACCCGTTTTCACGTGTTGTGCTGACTGTAGCACATTTTCCATTCATTTCTTTCCATCGCACTCATCGTTCATGATGGTGATTTTATTCAAGCATGGTGACGTATACAGGTCTTATACCGTTATCTGCTAAACAACTGCAGCTACGACTATGGCTGGTTGACTTTAGTTACGAACACGTCAGCTCAACGTGAGCCGATCGACCTAGGGAACGCCTGCATCCTCGTGGAGTCCACTCTACAGTTCATTTCGTCCATCTGTCGTCTGTTCTTCTCATTATATGACTGATCTTGTTTTATTGTCGATGTTTGTTGTCCTGGATCCCGAAGATATGATAGATTTTGAAAATCGGAGCTTCGCATTCCGGCGAGTATGTGCAGGTTGTATTTCATTAGATATCGTTCAAGCGCTCTGTAAGTAGTGTGCAGTATTCTTGATATGGTTGAAGTATCAACCCACGTGACAGTCTCTGCTGAATAACACAGTGCTAGGAGGATTGTTAAATCGAAAAGGTGAGCGCGGATTTTCGGACCCTTTAATTGGTCGAACATTTTGTTGAATTTGAGATGCCCGATTGTGGCCCATGCTGTTCTCCTTTTTCTATCTGATTCCTCCTTCATGTTATTTTCTATCTCTGCCTAAAGCGCACTTATGAGGTAGTCTCTGGAATCAGACAGCCAACCAATTCTACCTGTTTGTCTTCGCACCATGAGTTGAACTAGGTCTTCATCCAATTTATTTGCACTCTGATTTTTTTCCTCGCTTCGTTGATCTCATTAGTCATCGTCTCCTTCGTTGGTATTACATGAGAAGATGACGATGTCATCGCCCAAATGAAGATATGATGGGAATCTTCCATCAACGCGTACGCCTTTCTCACCCCAATTGAGCCACCTCGTTGTCCAAAGCAGTGCGGCACAAAACAGCTTTGGCAACATGCTGTCGCCTTGTCGAATCCTTATTCCTATAGCAAAGTTTTGGGATTAAGGACACTTTATCGTCACGAAAATATGGCATATCGTCATAGTACGCATTTATCAGAGGGTACACTATACCCTTGGGAAAGAACACATTTCGAACTCTTAGTACACTTTGTTATCCCTATGTTGTGGACTTTAACTCAGAGAAATATGTTCTACAATGTACGACTACTAGAAGAAGTTTATATGGAGGTGCTTGTAATGTGTATCAAGAGTAAACATGGATAGGGTGGGCATTCATTCATCATCCATTCACCATTGTGTAGGGTACTTCAATAGAAAAAATGTGTATTCTTAGTAAGTCTTTTACCATTTAGTTATAATTTCTGCAGCCTAACTCTACAGTTCTACAATTCGATTCTAAAATTGAAAGTTTTACAATGGTCTGGAAAAAACCTGACCGTTTTTGGGCAAAACTTCTAGTGCTAACATATAATGAGCCTTTTTTATAGAATTTCAAACAAGTACTCATAACAGTATGCAAAATACATTACTAAAATAGAATCTATAGTCATTGCCAACACTCCTTTTTTACCTAGCATCATATACAATACACAATTCTAATGTAGAGCACAAATTTTTTCCATAACAACTCCGTTTCTTGAATATAAACTACGCTTCGCATAACTACGTTGACAGTTTGAAAAACTTTAAAGTTTTAAAAAAAGTTTGCAAAACTCCAGAGCGGAAGTGTCTACCCTGCTACTAAAGAGTAGTCAGTAAATAATAAATTAAGATTATGATCTAAAAGTGTTCCTTACATTACTAAACCTAATACGAAGTTATCTCCTCCCAACAGCCCAACAGATTACCGCCTCATCGCGGCTGAGAGATGTTCCCGGGTATCGTGCTGCGACGAGCAGGGGAGGATTCATCCCCCGGCAAGGTCTCCCAAACTGAGAAGGAACTCGGCATTGCCATCAGGAAGCTTAGCTAAGAGTAAACCAGTACCAGGATCCACCACCGTCTTGATGTCGAACTAGTCGCATGGTGGCAAATCTCCCTCACATCCACAAGGGCGGTGACTGCCTGTGGTGGTGACGACTTGGGCAGACTTTCGCCAGGCTGACCTCGGGACTCTAGGGAAATACAAGGATTAAACCAGCAAAAACTTCGAAAAATGGGGAATATGCTGGGGTCTGCACAATCAGTGAGGACGTGCCGTTCAAGCATCCAAGTAAGTAATACGAAACTTTAGTATATCTTGCAGCAAATCTGGAATAACCAATTTTGTAGGCTTCATGTAACAGCCAACCCAACACATTCTACAGGTTTCTTTATTATTTTTTTTAATTTCTTTCTTTATTCTCTACACATTCTACCCTTGGCTGCCGTACAAGTACAGTTATGTACACCCAAACAATTGGTAGAACTAGATATGCTAAAAGAATGATGAAACAAAAAATGCGCATCACTTACTAGCTTTTCTAAGATGCAATTGTGGCTAATCACACAGAATTTTTCCGTTCCGCATAAGTATTCGTGCCTCTTTCGCACACATCAACTACAAATAACTTTTAGAAATCTACAGGGTCTACACATATTCTTGTTAGGAATTTCTATAGGGAGAAGGTAAAATAAACTGTGAAGGAACGAAATTACTCACTTTGATGTCAGTGGAGGAGGATATCCATCGAAAGAAGGTGATGGACCAGGAGATCCGAGATCAACCCAAAGTAACCTGGACTTGGTGATATGGGAGTTTGTGATCCATATGGAGAGACAGAATTGGACAAAGTACAGGAAATGGCTCCGAGGGTATTCAAAGAACTGAAAGTAAGATGCGCAGCACACCTAAATTAGAGCGCATGTCAGGCTGCAAGATTTACGGACCTCTCAGTACGTATCGGAGAACGCTCACCTATAGTTAATGGAAGCGGAGCACAGTCGCCAGGTCTGTCTCCAAGCGATGACATGTTCACAACAGACGAAATACGAAGTGCCTCCTTACCACCATGACACATGCATTTCCTCTCGCTTTTCCGCTTTTAACGCTGATTGTTCCAACAGCGAGTCCTAAATAATACTTAGAAAGATTTTCCAGTAAAGTCACGAAACATCAAAAGAGGTCTTTGACACAATCACAATGATTGGAACACATTAAAATGCACATTTGGTAGAGACTGATTTAGTCTTTCGCATTTAAAGAACGTAAAATGAAAGGAAAACCATTAGAATATAGAACATTTCATTTACAAGAAACTAAATGTCTTCTGTACTAGCGTAGCTGACAGTATTGCCTTCCTTGCACCATATTATTTCCACAAAAGCAAGCTCAAATTACTGCTTGCTTGACGTTCGAGTTGTGGATCCACCGAAAAAGGCCGACTTTCTATAGACCTCGGCTTAAATAACCTATATATCTATACGTTCATGTGAACTCATCTCGTTAAACTGATACGAGGTTGGTATAGTTGTTGATGTTGTTGTCGATGTTGTTGTTGTTGTTGTTGTTGCTGCTGCTGCTGTTGTCGTTGTTATTGTTGTTGTTGTTGTTGGTCGATGGGTGACGTTTCGGGGATTTCGCATTGATCAGAGCCGTGCTGTTACCAGTGGGACTTATACCAACCTCGCATCACCTCAACAAAATCACTTCATAGTTAAATATAAATAAATACGAATATATATGGGTCACAACATATACGACATATACAATATTGGTGTCAACCTAGTGTGAGCTTGCGTAGAATACATGGATTCACCACACCGAGGTTAAACGAAAGTAGGTTTTTAAAACAACTACGTATATACTTATTTACTTGATACATGAATGGCACGTCCTCAATGATTGTGCGGGGCCCCGCATAACCTCTATTTTTCTATTTTTTTTTCTATTTTGCTGGTTAAGCCATTGTGGTTCGTTGGAATCCCAAGGTCAACCTAGTCAAAGTCTGGCCCAGGTCTTCACCACCACAGGCAGTCGCAGCCCTTGTGGATCAGAGGGAGATTTGCCAACACGCGACTTTGATACCACGGCGGTGATGGATCTTGGTATTGGTTTACTTTTAGCCAGGCTTCCTGATGGAAACGCCGGACTCCTCAGCATGGGAGACCCTGCCAAGCGGATGAATCTTGCCACCGTACACCGCGGCCTGACAGCCAGGAACACCTCCCAGCCACGATGAGGCGGTAAACCGTTGGGAGGTATATGTATATACAAGTACATACATACATAAATAATACAAATATGTGACCTACCGCTTAGTGGTTGTTCCTGGATTAACAATAGTGGCCCTCTAGTCTTAGGAGTGTTCGCAACGTCGAAACGACTAGTCGTGGTTGTCGAGCACGGAATGAGCAGACACATATTAACATTAATACCCATAAAACGATAGCGCAATTCCTCTATAAGTCTCTTAAGGTCTCAACTCCTAAATACACTAATCACTGAAGAATTGTTGAGAGTTATCGAAGAACTGGGATCGCACGTTGCGCAAAGCATTGTTTTCGACAGGCAACTCGTAGTCATCTCATTTTCGAACACTGTGATGAATCGTTGTTAGTGGTTGGAATGGGAGGGCATCAAAAGCGAAAAGTAAAGGTCATAATATTCTTTGTACAACTTACATAACTCCATTAAATCCTGATAGCACTCATTTTATAGTGGAAGGGTTTTCTTTCATCACACCCAAGTTAGAAGCGGTTTATGAACATGGGATCATAAGTAGAAGATCATATCGGATACGTGGAAACCAGAGGAGACGAAAAATATGTGATAGAACGGAATAATGGAACGATAATTGCAATTAAAAAGTGCGCAGTGTCTCATACGCGATCCCAGTGGCCGTAAGTCTTGACTTCAATGCTCATTGTGATTGCGCTCCAATCATACGTTGTTGTGCTCCGATGAGCCCCATTCGGGGAAGCGGCTGCCGTCGTGGAAGCCTTAAGACATTTTTGCTATTCACTTACAAGTATATGAGTCCTTTAGCAACTCCTTCCTTATTGTACTAATGCCTTAAAAACAAAACATAAAGTGGTTGTTGAACAAATCTCGTGGGATTCGCCATGCATTTCACTCCGTTCGCAACATCGTGAAGATCATTCAATGCATATGTCTGCTATGCAGTAACTTGCGACACCTACTAATGTATCCAAGCGCTTTTATCCTCTCAGAGAAGTCTGGTACCAGCCTGCTAAAACCTTGAGTGATAGAGCCAGATTTGACTGTGATTGGTGGGTGTCGAACCAATGAATTCGTGAGTATTGCAGGGCACCTCTAACCACGTGGGTACACAACCCACACATAGATGTAATATCATTAGGGTGTTGCCTTATTACTTACTTGAGTACTTGGATGGCTCGTCTTCACTAGTTGTGCGGGCCCCAGCGTAGTTCCCATTTTTCCAGAGTTTTGCTAGTTTAGCCACTGTGGTTCCTCGGAGTCCTGAGGTCAGCTAAGCCAAACTCTGCCCCAGATCGTCACCACCACAAGCAGTTGCTGCTCTTGTGGTTCAGAGGAGGATTTGCAAACATGTGACTACTTTGATACCAGGACGATGACTGATCATGGTATTGGTTTACTCTCAGCTGGGCTTCCTGGTTGAAACACCAGACTCCTTTTCAGCTTGATAGACCCTACTGGGATGTTAACTTATTAGTAACCCAAACGATCAAAAACGGTAAAAGAAAAGGCTCCTGGGAAGAGAATAGTGAAAATAATTCAAATAAGTATTTAGGCGCTAAGATTTACTGTGGACCCTCAAAGGTGTCAATGGATCGCTCACATATTTCGAGCCTACAGTTGTCGTTTCTCCAATCGATCGACTGGGTGCCTGACTTCTTCTTCAGTGCTTATACTTAATCGATTATTTACTGAAAGTAGTAATTTTTTTGATAAAATATCAAATGCTGTTTGTTCTTCTAAAATTGTGGTTGATTACTGTTGAAACCTTATCAGCATTGTTTCGATCGTACTTGGCTGTCTTTACTTAGCAAAATTGGTTTTCTTTATCGCTTAAGATCTCTGTCATGCCTTATTGTTGTGCATCTATGTTGCCTAAGGACTGAGACAATCTAAAACCTAGCAAATAGTCATTGTAATTGTAAAGATTGATATAGAAATGGATCTTTGATGCGGTAGTATACCATTCATTCGTTCATTCATCCATTCATTATTTCATTCATTCACTCACTCATTCATTTATGCATCCATTCATCCATCCACGTAAGGTCTGTGGGATAAATTAGTTTGGGAGGGAATTTTGTTGAAAATCTTGCACGCAGTTTCCAGATTCTCGTCTCAATGGCCTTATGAGGTTCGGTTGATTATCGATTTTATGTTATAGACAGCATTGTTTGTTGTTCTTGCCAGTGTTGATTATATGACTGTGGATTCACTTCTACATACTTTTTCAAGTGATCTAAGTTATTTGGAAGCGATGGTTTCGCCAGCACTCGAAGTGATGAGCCCAACGAATTCGCTAATACGTCGGATTCGTAGGGCCGACGCCGTCGGCAGATTCCGTGCTCGTCATGACGGATACGCCTGGCTATTCGGACAGATCCACGTGAAGGTATGTTGTGTTCAGATTATGCTTATTTAAATATCAAGCTCACAATATAGCACGTAGGGCGCGTGTGGCGCAGTGGTTGGAGGCGCCACTGCGGCACACATGTGGAATCGATCCCCGCCCCCATGGCCCACCAAGCCTTCCATCCCTCCAGGGTCGGCAAATTGGTACCAGACTCATCCGGGAGGATAGCAGCACTGGTTCGATACATCGGTAGGCCACTGCGAGTCATTGTAAAGGCCAGATATGCATTCAATCACCTCCAACGAAACTTAATGAAGTAGAATGCATGGTGCATCCCTCAGGGTTTGATCAACGTCGGGAGCTTTATCCTTTATCTCTTATAAAGTACGTAGGAGTGCAGGAGCGAGGGTAACACAGCGGTTAGTGATGCAGCTTATCAAGAAGCGAGGTTCTAGTTTGACCTCTCCCAACTCTGTCCTCCAATCCATGAGGGAACCTCTTGCTGCGCTATCTCCAAGGTTGCAACTAGACTCGGCTCGACCAGTGTTCTACGACGTTCATGAAGGAGACGAAATCCTCATCAGTACCAGCCGAAACAACATGTAAAATGTTCGAAGACGTTTGTTGACAACGAATGCGAGGAAAATGAATTGGATTTAAGAAGCGCTGGTTTTCGCTCAGTGAATGTGATGACGGGTTATTTAAAATAAAACAAATATGATGACCTCGAATTGTTAAGTTAATACTGGCTAGTTGTTGAACTAAAAGATAAATACGATGAGCTAGAAACACATTAGACCTTAAAACTCCCAAGATTTCGATTTCATCACCTTTAAATGAAGGGTTAAAGAAGATGTACAATTGGTATATACGTAGTATTTGTCTTTTAGGAATTGAGACATGGCTTCAAGTAGTCCTTAACTCGTTCCTACTATTTTTTTCTACAAATATCATAGGAGTGTTATCTAGTGCTGCAGCTGAGTGTGTCAGCCTCATATCATAGCGGTAGCACATGAATCATTTTCGGTTGTACAGACTGGAGACGTTTGCTTAGTACTTGCAACTTGTTATCTCCTTAAAAGATAAAGGATGGTGATGTCGGCGTTGATCAATCCCTAAGGGATGCGCCATGCATTCGACTTCATCCAGCACCATTCGAGATGATTGAATGCATATCTAGCCTTTAGAATTACTCGTGGTGGCCTACCGATGTATCGAATCAGTGCAGCTAGCTTTCAGACAAGTCTGGTACCAATTTGTCCACTCTGGAAGGATGAAGGGGTCGGTGGGTCTGGGGCGCGGCATCGAACACATGTGTATTAGCGCCTTTAACCATTGCGCTACGCACTTCGCATTGCGTCATTATATTCAAAAAGAGAAATATGCTGTATTTTTACATAAACCATTGTGTGTTCTTATGGCATTAAAACGTCTTAGTCGTGAGTAAAGCTACGTTCTTACAAAGATGAGAAATAAGAAAGACTATACAGGTTTGACAATATGCTATCATAGACAGTTTTTTCATCTGACACTAATGTGAGATTGTTAAATCTGTTAGTTGTACAAGTCGAAAAAACTTCACTTAGATGACAGAATGAGAACTACGTGGCAAGGTCCTTAGGACTTGGTATTTCGGATATTGCGAAATCGAATCGATACCGCTCTAGTGCATATTTCAGCTATTACTTAATGTTTTTTTTATCTTTTGTTTATGGATAAGCTCAGTTGCTCATCAGATTCCGTGATAGGATTCAACAACACACAGTCAGAGTTTCTTTTAGCACCTGCTGCTTGTTACACATATCGTCTTTCTGATAATCTCGCTTTGGCTAATGTGGCAAATTGGTGTAGCTGACTTCACTGGGTTGCAAATTCCTGGATTGGACGGATTTTCACCATTCGATCTCCATCATCAATTTCAATTCGACCATGCACAGGAGTGGGAGTCGATGTTAGTGGTACCGTGAGCGATTGTGGTTCCTTTGGAGGAACATATGCTCTCAAGAAGTTATTCAAAATGAGTTATAAGGCAGCAAAACGTTTTCTAACACATTGCTTTTTCAGCTATGTCTCCACCTCTCCAAATATTCAGAAACCTTACCTCAACGTTTCGCGGAACGTTGCATCAGCACTTAGCTATTTGTTTTTCTTCAGGTTCGTTTCTTGGATAATTTCATAGCATAGCGCCCAAAAATGGAATTAATGAGTATAAAGGATAAAGGATAAAGCTCTCGGCGTTGATCAATCCCTGAGGGATGCGTTATGCATCAACTTCATTAAGCATCGTTTGGAGGTGATTAAATGCATATGTAGCCTTTACAATGACTCGCAGTGGCCAACCGATGTATCTAGTCAGAACTGCTATACTCCCAGACAAGCGTGGTAACAATTTGCCGACTCTGGAGGGATGGAAGGTTTGGTGGACCATGGGCGCTGGGATCGATTCTACGTGCGTGTTGCAGGGCGCCTCCGACCACTGCGCCACGCGCTCTCGTTAATGAGTAAAATGAAGCAAAATGCTGGTTTTACGCACAATTTGCCACTGTCTCAAGTTACTAAATATTTTTTGTACGGTCTCAAACGCTAAGTGATATAATTCAAATGTAGGTCATACTTCTTCAATTTAATATTACAGCGCATTGATGGGTTTTATGGTACTCTCATCAATGCATGGTGCGTGGCAGCGTGGTGTTCTGGTGTCGTTATTCCGTATCAATCTGGCCTTCTTCCTAATTCCACTACTTTTTTGCGTGGTTTGTGATACGACACATGGGAAGCTAGCAGATTTCTATTTGACTTGATCACTTTTGTTTTTCATTTTTCAATCCGCATAGAAATAAAATCCCTAGGTAACGCTAGGCGCTGGTTTTCTGTTATGCTGTATTCGTAGTTTCCGCATGCAGCTTCAGCAGATTTCTGAAAGCCGAACTGATCAAGCCGTTACTTTTCTCATAATTGGTAAGCTAAACTGACGAGAGTTATATCCGATGGCTTAACAAGTCGCAGTTTTTACAGAGTTATGTACTTTTATTATCAATAACCCCCATTATAAATCAAACTGAGAAGATAAGTTCATAATAAACTCGTCGGTAATTGTGAAAAATGGCCCTGACCAACTAAGTCGCTTTGGTGTGCGGGTCATAGTTTCTGTTTTTAATACTAGAGTTAACTTGATAATCTTTGAGTTTTTAACAAACTGACGGAAACCACTATGATATCAACGCTGTCGTACTCTCTTCCGCAACGGGTAATAAGAAAATCCGTTTCCACAACAGAAGGTGGATTTTTTAAACTATTTCTTCTTCAATGTTAGCCTTTTGATTCCTGCCTGCTATAATTTTTCACGGCATGGTATAATGTGAAATAGAACCACAGTGATGCTGAGATATTCGCAAAATTTGGAGCCCGGGCCCGATCGAACCACCATTACCCTTTCCTGGGGCTCGCTTATTACATACTTCACCACAGAGGCCCTTGCTCTGCGTTTCTCTCAGCTAGTTTTTCTTTTTCTTTTTTCACTTCTTCATTTTTGTACGTGTGGATACTAGCTGCAGGAAATACTTTTTTTAAATTCTTCTTTAGATGCAATTCGTTTCACTTTCTTGCCATGCGCTGTAATGTGGATAGTGTACTTGTATTATGTCTATGGCTGCGTGCTTAGTTTTCTTTATGTGTACCGTCATTCTTCGGATTGGTCTTCACTGAAACGTGACATCGCAGCCACAAGTACGACGAGTTGGTCTTTTAAAGGTATGGATGTTAATCTCTTATAAATGCACTACAGTGCTATTTATTCTTATGTGCTTTATTTTTTTCCTCTTCATTGTTCTGGTTCTACGTAAATATCCAGCTAGAAGCACTTAAGTGCACTTAGATTAACTGCCTTCACGTTTAAGCGGGTTCGCTACGCGTTTCCTTGTTTTGCAGTCTCCTTCCAGAAAGGTTGACAGATTCATATGCGGGCGGATTCGCTCCGAAATAAGGATTTATCTTCTGTTCTCAACGATATATTCAACGCTTATTAAATGATCAAGAGTGATTTTTCTTAGAATCGTGAGAACCGTGCATGAACATTCTCGAGCCCTTAGCATTATCGTTCGCACTTCCTGTTACATCGATCCGGGATTTCTTTTTTTTAACTGCGGCGAGAATAATGTAATGCTAATAGTGCCGTTGAATACTTATAAGGCCTTGTTTCGACCCTGTACTAGGTCAACCAAACCTCCTATCCTTCGTTGATCGGGGACCAGGGAGCCTAGCAACACGCTAGTCCGGCAATCCTGGAATTCCAGGTGGAATTGACCAGCGCTCACGGCATTCAGAAAACCGCAAATCCTCGGGCAGTAGCTGAACCCAAACGCAAAGTACGAATAACTTCATAGAATATGCTTGTGTGGAAACGAGTCTAAGGCAAGATATGTTAGAATCCGCACATTACATAGTGTTGGGATGTGTGAAAAAAATACCGCGACGCTAGTCTGTTTTGTAAAACTGTTTTTCTTCATTTATAATCATTTATTGGTTTTGTCGGTTCATGTTTTTCGATTCTAAAATTTTTATATTGAACATGGCTGCTTAGTTTCTGTTGGTGTTTCTAGATCGAGGCTCTTCATCGATCAGACTAGGTGACCATGCAAATACAAGAAGTAAGCCATATGGAAGTTCTTATTCGAGCTTGGTATTTTTTTCTCACATGTAATAAAACTTTTAGATGACCTTTTATCTCGTTTAAATGAAACTAACAGCAGCTTGCTTAGCCTGAAGGTTACCGAAAATCCAATTTTGAAGAGCTATACGAGGAAGATTGAAGGGAAGTTTCTTTTTAAGTTGCATTATTGTTTATAGTCAATTTCTTGTAAAAAAAAAATTAAAACTGGTTTGAATTATATGTACGTTTTCGCTGTGAAGTTCTAACCGTCACATTGGTATTTAGAAGTAGAATAGCAACGGTGGATAAGTAAGGACGGATTTAAAACTTGGAGGACCCTTTTTGTGTCTATTGAAGTGATGCTTAGCATCGTTATTATTCATTGTTGTTTTTATATCGGTATTCCTTCTCATGAAACGTTTTACAGATGGTCGTTCTCCATCAGTATCGGTTGATGATATCGATATCAGCTTTGGATCTGAGACATGGTGAGATCCGAGATTTTTCATTTAACTATTGAATATGTAGACTGTGAAACAACCATAATGATTCTGAGATATTTGCAAAACTCCGGACCGCTGGTGTCTGCGGTGGGGAACGAACGCGCTATTACCCCTTCCGGGGACTAACCCGTTCACTACCACACCATGCTGGTCCTTCGTTTCGGTTGTGGTTCTATCATACATGATACCCTGCCATAAAAAATTGTTATAGGCAGTAAAGAGAAAGTTAACATTATGTGGTTGTGTTGGTCAAACAACTTTTTAATACTGTTTGTGTGTTCGATTTCTTCTGAAAATGTGTTATTCCAGCTGCGAGAATAATAACACGAGTCAATCGTTTTTGTTCAATAATTCACATCGCCACCTAGACACGGTTCATGAAGAAAATGAAAGTCAGGAGAACACTCCGTTGCCTTCTGAGATCTCTTCGGTTGCTGATGTCCCCACCAGGATATAGACCATTTGGTTTGTCTGTGTTTAGTTCATCTTTCTTTCTTACCTATTTCAACACTGGAACTTAATGACGTAATGATTTCATCTCTAAATGTATCCTTCTAACTTCTTTTCTTTTAGATCGTAGAAATGATGCCTTTTTGAAACGTTTCCTACATGTCTACTCTTTACGTACACGTTAAATAGTTTTGCTGAAGAATTGCCATAATCAGTTATCATTCTGGTAACCAACTCTTTCATTTCTTCTTTCGTCCACACTTTCATACTTTCGTAAAAGGCATTGCCTAGATAGTATTTTCGTCAAGTCACCACGACAGTCATTTTTCCTCCAGTCCAAAGAACTTCTACTAAGCCTAAAAAGTATGGATTTTTCTCATTATGGACGAGTATTTCAATCTTTATTATCAAATTGATCACAAATACTTTCGTTTCCAACCTTAGTTCTCTAATTAGTTTTGTCATTGGCTTAGTGTGTCATCTCTTATTGAAGTTACTATTACCTTGGTTTTCGGATCTCAACGGTGGTTCCAGAACGTAATTTGTTCTTTCACTCCCAAAAAGAAAGCTCCGAACTTCGTGCTACTTCTGATTTTTTTAAATATCATTTTCTGATGTTCAGCTCTGTTATACTTTATGTTTACAGATAAAAAGTTTGTAATAGCTCTTGAATAGTCATTACATTGTTGTTGTATTCCTGAAATACTGTGATTGTCGCTGAGACAGCTGTTGATCTGGGTTAGTACCCATCCTTATTGTTCTTTTTCCCCGTGTTGGTTTACCGTTGTTAGACCCAGGTTTCATATTTGCGCCAAAGTTTCTCCGAAGAAACCTGTACCAGTCTGCTAGGTCTTTTTTGCAATTTTCGTAATTTGTAAAATGGTCAACAAATTTAGTGCACTGATTAGAAATTCGTTAATAATTGATGTTTGTCATAACACGGTTATCTTCACGTCATTTTTCTAAAAGTTTGTTAAATGGAAGGATTTTCAGGGGGTTCGGTAACAGCCGAGAAGAAAGCCTGTGACAAAGAGGTAATTACCCATCATCCGGTTACCTGTTGCCTCGAAATTGGTCGTTATCCGTCCACCGAGACTGGTTCGTGTTGATTATCACTTGTGATGATTAGTCGAGCTTCAAATAAGCACTGCACTTCAAATGCGAAAAGAATGGAGTTACTGAAAGTTTTTGGAGAGCGGCTTCATTTTATGGTGGGAGTGGAAGTTTTTATTGAACAACTTGACTCATTCATTCATTTCTCACTATCATTGCCGCTATTGGAAGTTTTCAAAGACCATTTTTTGTTTAGCATTTTGCGATTGTTAAGCAGATTCTGGTGCTCCTATATGTTTTAAGATCTATTCACGTAGATCTAAACATGCAGCTTTACTGTTACGATGCTACAAAAGCTGTAATCGGAAGCACGACGAATTTGAAGATTTGTGTGTAAGACTTCTTAGTGTTCAGTACCTGACAGGATTATTTGTTGGATTAGTTTCGCACTAGAAGTTTCTGGTGTAGTGCTAATTCCTAGCAGTACATTTAGTAATTAAGGCGCGCATCTTGTCTATGGTTAAACTGGATTGTTTTACGTTTGCCGCAATGGATTGTTCATGATTTGCCTGGTGCCGTTTGCACTGGTCTCTTGTACTTCGTTTTATTGAGGTAATCTTTTATTTTCGGGGCATGTTGACATCTTCTGTCGTGGTTTGGTGCAAGGAATAAAGTGGCAAAGACTAAAGCGTTTGACGTTAATCGATTCGTGAGAAATGTGGTCTGCATTCGTAGCGTAGTAGATGTGATGGAGTGCATATTTGTGCTGAACACTTACTTACTAACTTGATACTTGAACGGCCCGTCCTCACTGGTAGTGCAGGCCCCTACTGGTAGTGTAATCACCATTTCTCGGAGATTTGTTGGTTAAGCCACTGCAGTTCCTTGGAATCCCGAGGTCAGCCTGGCCAAAGTCTGCCCCATGTCTTCACCTCCACAGGCAGTCGCAGCCCTTGTGGATCAGAGGGAGATTTGCCATCATCCCCCTCTGTACACCGCAGTCGGACACCCTCCTAGCCACGATGAGGCGGTAAAGCATTGGGAGATGTGCTAAACAGTGACTTGTAATTTCTTAGCGACGCACAGTTAATGTTTCTATCCTCCCATATAAGTCTAGTGCTAATCTGCCAACCCTGGAAGGATGGAAGGGCTGGTTTTCCCGGTGCACGGAATCGAAGCATGGTCTGTGTAGGCGCATTGCAGAGGATTCCTATCCACTACATGCGCACATGGAGTAGAGAATATAGTTTCAAATGGCGTACTGGTGTTGAGACGCATTTTTTCGAAAAGATGTTCGTTGTAGTTAATTTGCACATTGAGGTAATAATGGGCAATGGGAGATTTTTTGTATTATCCTTTCTATTGAGTATAATATTGTACTACTTATGCAATTTTGGTTCCGTATTGATGCTTGGTGCCTTGTACACGTCTGAAATGGAGAATAACTCCTCATGGTTTGCTCCTCGATGGTTAAGGATGGTAATGAGTGTGCCAAGTGTATTCGTTGAAGTAGGTTTTTCTCATTATAATTGTATATCTTTTCTCTTATGGCATGTTCTTGGGAGATTCGTTTATTTCCAGAATAATTTTTCGCCAATGTTACACTTCAGTTAAGGACGTGGTCGTATTTCTAGTCTTTTTTGTGTATTTATATATTCTGAGATACAGCTTTCCAGGTTTTATTTGCTGTCCTAGTTTTTAACGGCATTGTTGTTGCCACATGGAGATTACTGAAATTGAACATGTCATCCATGTCGTTTATCCTTGCTGTGCTCTCTGTAATCATACTGGCATTATTCATTGTGGCGGAGGTGTGTGTGCGTCCATATGCAAAAAATCGTTATTCCTTTAAGTTTAGTTGAATTTCAGTGTTCTTACGCTTAATTTTGCATAGAAAGACGCTGAACTGAGGAAATGTTAGATTGCTCGGGAAGTAGTGTCCGATTTTTAATTTCATTTCTCTTCTATATCTTGTAGCCTTAGTTGTTTTTTCGAGATTTCATGCGCTTTCGCTTTGTATAATTGAACCTTAACATCGAATATGATTTTGACATATTCTAAAGGCAACATCTTCGACATATGTGCTTCGAAATATTGCTGAGGTATGGTAAGGTCAACAAAGTATTAGCGAAGATACATTGCGACGTTGGATTAGAAAACTTCATCGTGGTGACTTCGACCTTGAATGATGACGATGACTTGAAGGCTTTGATGGAAGCAAATATGCGCAGACCTGTTTGATAATTTACAGAAGAACTCATTGTAAGTATCTCAATCATTTCGGAGCATGTAAAGATAATTGGAAAGTCGAGGAAGCTTTACAAATGGATGCCGCAAGACTTGAATGGCACTCAAGGAAGTCGCCGTTTTGGACTTTAGTCGACACTTCTTCTACGCAAACATAATGACACCTTCGTCACTCTTACTGAAACATTCGAAGAGAAATGAAACCTCTTTGATAACTGGGGACGATAAGCTTATTGTTTGGACAGCAATGAGGCACATACCAGAGCAGAAACTACACCAAAAGAAGGTCGTGTTGAACGTTTCGTGGTTCACAGGTAGTTTCATCCATCACAGCTTCCTGAATCTGTGTGAAAAGATTAAAATGGAGAAGTAGGTTCAATAAACTGATGAAGTGCACCACAAATTTCAATGTCTGCGCCTCGCATTGCTCAACAGAAAGGCATCAATACTTCTTCGTCATTACACGTGCAGAGCCATCGTATAACCGACGCTTAAAATATTAAACGAGCTGGCCTACGAAACTGTCTCTCATCCAACATACTTTCCAGACAGCTGGCCTTCCAATTACCACTTCTTCAAGCATCTCTGCAACTTCCTGTACTAGAAATGCTTCAAGGAGGCCAAAACTGTCCTCAACGACCTTGCAAAACTCCAGATTTTTAGGCAACTTGTTTCTTCTTCGCAGAAATTTGTAGATTGTAACACTTTTTGTGCACTTTCCATTGCGATTAGATACTAGGATACTTGGAAACCCATCTTCACGACTAGTGCGGACCCGAGCATATTTTCCATTCATTGCTTCGCGTTCGTTGTCCATGATGCTGGTTCGCTTCGAGCATGGTGGTCTGTACGAGCGTCATACCGTGATCTACAAAACATCAGCATTTTTGAGTATATGTGATTGATTTTCACTACGAACACGTCCCCTCAACATGTAGATGGTCTTCCTAGGGGACGCCTGCTTCTTCGTAGAGCTCACGCTACAGCTGTTTTCGTCAATTTGCTGTCTGTTTTTATTACATGGCTGGCCAGTCTGTGTTTTCGCTATCGATGTGTGATGTATTGCGCTTCATAGATCAGATGGACTTTGAAGGTGTGATGGACATTATGGCTCGATGTTGTGTGGAGCGGTCATAATTCAGAAGGGATCCTTCAAACGCTCTGGGAGTGTGCGCAGTGTTCTTGCGAAGTATCAGCCCACGTCTCCTCTTCATAATAGATTGCTAAGAGGACCATTAGTCGAATAAGTGACAACGAAATTTTTGGTTCGTTAGGTGGTCGGTGGCAGCTTAGAAAAGCTAGAATGCAGTCCATTATCCTCTACTTTTTCTTTGTAGTTTTTCTGGATGTTGTTGTCCAAATCCATTAAACGTCCCAGGTACATGTACGAGGTTGCCTCTAATCAAGACCATCCAGTTCGTCTGTCACTACTTCGTTGGTACTTCTTGAAAAGATTAAAAAGTGGTGATACGGTAGGAATCTTCCATCAGTACGCCTTCTTGTAGGCCCTTCTTGTTCTAGTCGAGTGACTTCTTCATCCACTTCGATGCGTCAATAGGCAGCTTTGGCGATACGACATAGTCTTGTCAAATCTCTCTTCATGTAGGTGTTTGAAGGAGTCGATAGGAAGGCTATTTTTTCGTTGTGCTCTTGCGATCACAGTCATTTAGAGTTTTCATGTAGGAGGGGTCAACTTCTTACTCGAGAGGCACTGATAGAATTTCGTTCGTTTCGACTCTATCAAGCGCTTTTCATAGTGGACAAAAGTCAGGGGCAGGTAGTATGCACGACAAACTTCACTGGCCCTAGACATGGTTTAGATGTGGTCCATGCGGCAAAATTCCTGTGGAAATTTTACTTGCTGTACTAGCAAGGTCTTCGATATGCGCAGAAGGGTAATCTTCGTAAACAACTTGTGGAATATACTCAATAAGCATATTGGCAGGTAGTTACGAAGATCCCTTCGATCATCATTCTTGGGCGGGATGGCCGTGCGCAACGTTTTCCCACTAATCTGGAAAATTCTCTTTTTGAAGGTGAGATGTCATGTGGATTGCAAGAAAATATAGTTTGTGACCATCAACTCTACAGAAATAAGCGGTGGCATTATCGGGTCCTGGAGCTGGGCCTTCCTTCATGCTTTTTGGCGCAACTCGACCCTTAGAGGATAGAATCCAGTTCGGCTTTTCTTCAGTGGGGTTTTCGAGGTTCGTGAGGGAGGTTGCGGAGCAGAAAAGATTGGTATAGAACGTCTCTATTATCAATTACATATCATGGCGGAATATTTTAGTGAGTCAATCTTCGTTCATCAAGGCTGACAGCGCAACATTATAGCTACCCATATCCAGACGATATTTGCTTAGACCGGTTCCTTTTTGTACTGCTTCTACCAGTTCCTCTTTTCCTGCACCGATAAAGGTCCTGCAAAGCTCTTTTGCAGTTGGCATTTATTACTAGTCATGTTAAATGTGTTGGAATAGGATCAAACTCCCGTTTTTTCTATTCTCCAGTAACTACTTAGTGGTAGTGGACATATGGTCGGATCTTCTTGCTTTAGGAACTGACGAAAATTCGGTACACGTTTTAAATCGCTCAACAAGGAGATCGTAGTCTTCGTTTTGCTCTTCCTTAATCTGCCAATTATGGATAGCATTCCGTTTAAAATCTAACCATTATATATAATGCTGAGATATTTGCAAAACTCCGGACCGCAGGTGTATGCGGTGGGGAACGAACACGCGCTGTCCTTACCGGGGGGCAGCGCACTTCACCATCACACCATCCGGGTCCTTCGTTTTGTCTGTCTCTCAGCTAGTTTTACTGATCTTTTGCCATCACCAATCACCCGTCAACGGGATTGATTTGGGGAGCCCAAATCGGCATTGAACCTAGTTAAGCTGAGGCTTAGTTATGGTCATAATCTTAACCCTTTTATTTACTGCCTTTTTCTTCTTAATGGCAGGGTATGTTGCGAAATATAACTCGTTTATAATGCTGATATATTTGCAAAACTCCGGACCGCAGTTATATGCAGTGGGGAACGAACGCGCCGTATTGTCCTTAGCGGGGAGTAGCGCACTTCACCATCACACCATCCGGGTCCTGAACTAGCTGAGAGACAGGCAAAACGAGGGACCCGGATGGTGTGGTGGTGAAGTGCTCTACTCCCCGCTAAGGACAATACGGCGCATTCGTTCTCCACTGCATACACCTGCGGTCCGGAGTTTTGCAAATATCTCAGCATTATATACGAGTTATTTTTCGCAACATACCCTTTCATCAAAAAGGAAAAGACAGTAAATAAAAGGGTTAAGATTGTAATTATAACCATTATATACAGCTTGACTTTTCCGTTTTAGTAAATGATATGAATTATTTTACGGTTAATGCCTGGATTGAAGAAGACAGTGATCGGACCCAGTACAGAATGGTAGGAGTACCGATGCGTGAAATAGAGACTATCTTCCGTTTGTAAGGGTAAGGTCTATTTTGGCATGTGACGTACCGTTGAGAGAGTCCTGTGTCCACTAGCGACTTCTGAAAAAATGAGTTTCCAACTTAAGGACCTGATAAAGACAGAATTCTGCAATGGTTTTCATTTTCATTTCCTTCTCCTAATTCAAATTTTCCGATGTTGTATTTGTTTTCGTTAGCCTTTCCTACTCTGGCATTGAAATCTACAACAAATTTATAAAAAGTCATCATTGGGGATAACATCCTCGAAGTGATAGGATAGTAGAACGTGTCTAAGTCGTGCTCATACGTGCATTGTTCGGTGAGTGGCAGTTGGTTAGACTGACTTTCGCATGACTCGTTGATTGAAGATTGAGCACGACCATGCGAGAGAAAAGGATCTCTTGCGAATCGACAAAATTGGCAATAGACGGACAGGTGGACGACAGAGCAGGCGGCAGCTACATTTCTTAACAGGATCTCATCTATAAGATTGACATGGGTCCTGTTGTTTAATTGGAATATGTGGATTTTACTGCTTTTTGTTTTTGTGGAGCGATCACATGGGATTTCATGCGATTTGTGGCTTCCAGAAGAGTGTGAAGGTGGTCGCGTGAAGAAAGTGTTTCGGGATTATAGGTGCAGAGTAAGGAACAATTTCTATGGAATATCTTGATTGTTTTCATTAGCCCCCCGGTTAGGGTGGGATCCTCCAATACCCGAGGTTTTGTAGCTTCTATTGGACGTCTCACTACCTGATGTCATAGACAAGAGCATTCGTTAGGCGAAGTAATGCTATTTTGGTTAATCTCTGGTATCAGTTGACAATCATTCAACAACCATCCATCCCGTATAAAAGAGCATCGCCGAGCGAAGTTACTCCATTCGAAAGGTGCTCCACTCAAGAAGATTCGATTTGTATGACTACGAAGAACCACACCGCGAGCACGAGCGACTGTGTACCATCGACTCGTATAATCGGCTCTGAAGATGATGGATATGTCGAAACGTTAGCAGGATAAAAGTTGTATAACAAGCTCGAGTAAGTTGAACATTCTAAAGGAATATGTTGTGTCTAGAATTTTGCTCAACTAATATAAATAAACTTCTTTCTCATTGGAAGAAATGTGTAGTTTCTAACGGTTTTGATTACGATTAATAAAGTTTGTTCTTAGTTGAGTTATGAATTTGAGCTGAAATCGGACATTAATTCCTGAAGAACCTGATACAATCTCAGATTTTAATCTCCAGGCTAGAGAAAAAGCATCAGCAACTTCTTTCTATGGGACGTTAAGTGCGGAAGATAAAGACCATTATAGTGGTGACCAATTTTCTTCATGAGAACACTAAACGGAAACTTTAGTTTTTTTTTGTTTTGTTGAATTAAGTACTACCATTTTTTTGTTTTGACGCATGACCGAAAAAATTAGCCCATTCAGTGGCACCGTCTGCAGACATTCGGTGATTAACTGAAGGCTAGTAGTACTTCTGTGATAGACACAGTTTTACACGAAATTCTGATTTGATTCTGACGTTCACCTACTTTCTATAATGAGCGGCACGTTCTACAATCTCGGAACGATTCTTTTATTTTAGATGGTGCTTCATATTGCTACAGTAATCTATGTATGTCGCCGATATGATTTCAAAAGGACAATGAGTGTTCAGGATATTGATTTCGCAGTTAAATCAGAACTTAACAAGAATCTAACAGCTGCCTTACCAGCAAAACTAAAGGTATAACAGTATAATGTTAACTAACTACTTCAAATGGATGTTATATTTTTATTTACAGTACAAATATGACTGCATGTCGTTACTGTCATCAATTGAGGATTCCTCGAAATTCTCCAGAATTTCAAGGCAAAGTCCAGGTTATCGGAAGAGTCTATTGGAGTCGTTCGACCTACCACCGACTTATAATAACAACCCAGTGCCTTCACAGAATAAGCCGATATCATCAAATAAGCGTAAGCCGATGCGAAATCGTTGTTTGCGGGCTTTAGTAGTACTTAGGATATCATATTGGAGTACACTCTTGTATTGAATTTTACATTAGCACTCAATAACTGGAAAACTTGGTTGTTGTAAATTATTAAGTAAATAATAAGTGGAAACTTTGCACTGGATAGTCGAGTGCGTGAACCTTCTGAGAGTTGGTACAATGTTTTCTGAGTTGCCAATGCAACAATGATCACTGAGTATGTTTCATTTTTCAACGTTGCTGTGACAATATCGTGATTACAGGTATGCCAGTCAGCTCGTCAAACTATGCCCGTTTGCGTTCTTCGTTTTTGTCCAGCGCTGATCGCACTTACCTTTCCGACTATGACGCTCTTCAAAGCGTATTTAAACCCAATGATTCAAATTGGTCAGATCGCTCGAGTAATTTCAACAGTATAACCTATGCTATACCTAGCGTGAGTGACTGTCACATTCTGTAGCCTTTTATTTTGGTACTATTCGATTATTTACTCATTAAAATCATTATTTTACTCTCATTCAAAGTCGCTTTTAAGACGTGCCGACGTGCCCAAGAAGATAATCACTGTTTCAATCTCTATGGATAGATATTACAGCATGGAGGTAACTGTTTTCTATTTTAGTTTTTAGAATGATAAAAATAGGTACCATAACAGGAATCATATATTATATATACGTAACAGAGTGAAATATTGTGCTCATAGAAACGACGAAACGACAAATATGGTTGGTGATGTAATCGAAAAAAATTTTTTAACCTGTATATATATGGAAGGAGATAAATGGCTTGTGCACTAGTTTGGGACATCGTATTTCTATTTGCATCTCTCGGAGCAAAACAACGGAAGTGAAAATATCTGAGAGATGTATAAGGATTTAAGGCTATGCATTGCTTAAAATGTGAAACCCTTTAAATATCCATGTGAATAGTTAGTTATAAAGTTATTTTGTAGGATTTTTTAAAGGGGATATTTTCAGGCGGTTATCATACTGTTCTTCGGTGACACATCATTTTCAAAAGGACTGCTGTGTTGTTGAAGCATTACGCATGCGTTATTCCTAACATAAAAGGTTCTTTGTAATGGCAGTGTGGTCGAATACTACCCACGTTGGTCCTTTATCTTTTTTTCGTTAGTCTAAGATTGTTATTGTTTGCTGTCGTTAAAGAGCTCATAAACATATCGTTTTTTCTTTGTTCTCTATTTAACGATATCCTGTTGCAACAGTAATATTCTTAATCTTAACCCTTTTATTTACTGCCTTTTTCTTCTTAATGGCAGGGTATGTTGCGAAATATAACTCGTATGTAATGCTGAGATATTTGCAAAACTCCGGACCGCAGGTGGGGAACGAACACGCGCTGTTTTCCTTAGCGGGGAGCAGCGCACTCTTTTGCCATCAGGGTTCAATGCCGATTTAGGCTCCCCAGATCAATTCCGTTGACGGGTGATTGCTGATGGCAAAAGATCAATGGCACTAGCTGAGAGACAGGCAAAGCGAAGGACTCGGATGGTGTGGTGGTGAAGTGCGCTGCCCCCCGGTAAGGACAACAGCGCGTGTTCGTTCCCCACCGCATACACCTGCGGTCCGGAGTTTTGCAAATATCTCAGCATTACATACGAGTAATATTCTTAAACACTATCTACCCAGCGAAACACTTCTATAACTAAACAAAGAAAGGGCTAAACCAAGATTTCAATCGCATCGAAAACAAAATAACTTCTTATTGTAAGGATATGTGACTTGATTGCGTACATCATTTTTTTGTGGTGACTAGGATGAACTAGGCTCAGCATTTTCTGCACAACATAGTAAACGAATTGGTCCTTCATCATGAGAAGATTGGAAGACGATGGATCATCATTATCTACGCAGATATCGTCAATGAAAAGTGCTTTATAGTGATGTCCAGTGCAAATAAAACACTTCTCGATGACATTAGGAGCAAACTTGTACTGTACTATCTCAAGACATTACCACTTATCTCTTGTATGATACGATCTCTGCCTGGATCACTTCCATGTTCAATAACGTGTTGCATAACAGTTTCCGTATTGACCCAGAACAAATCAGCTTCCATTTCCATGAAAAGCTTCCAGAGCAAGTCTTTTCTGTTCATTTGTGCAATGCTCAAGCACTCTTTGAATAACTCTACACCCATACGGATTCATGGATAATTATACAATAATTTTAGGTCCGTTTTTCGTGAAACAGTCGATGATGAACTAAAGCCGTTCAGGTCTCACTTTTTCAATAACGTGGATGACATGGTTTCCATTCTGGTCTTTCACTCATTTCATTGCATGATTTCCCAACCCTCGTAGAATTCCTAGCTGAATCTTTTCATCTGAAGATTCCAAAGCTTTCTGGATTACATTACATCCACACATTTTCAGAGCTAGATTCATAACGTCTTTCCGATCGAAAAGCGGCCAAGGGTAGCTTTCTGTTCCGTAGTTCCATATTCGATAAACTTCTCAATCATGTAATCACCAAAGATGTCTATCATTAGAATGTGAGCATTAGTGAGAATTTCATCGAAAGGCATTTCCTTCTCTTTTGCAGATGCATGCTCAAGTTTTTGTTGGATAAATCGAGATCTAAGTTGATCTTTAGCAAATTATGCTACATGTGATAGAATATCGGCTATTTGAGGGTGAGCAGTTCGGTTATTGCGGAAATCGTCCAAAAGATAACCCTGGTCTGGTTGTCTTGGACTGTTATTGTCAGTTCTATGTCTGCTCTGACAACCGCCAAAGTGACTAATATTCGACGGCTGTGATGATACGCTGAACATTGAAATTCTTACACTATTATATACTTCAATACTCATTTCTGGATCCAGATGTAGTTTCAGCATTGTTGGAATTCCACCAGCGAAAATACTTGAATTTCTTCCTAGTGTTGGAGCCGATGGTGATTGCGTTGGTGGTCGATTGAGCTTCATGTACATCATGGGTTGAGGTGGTATTTACGCAAGGAAATGAGGACGACCCCATTGCTGCTTGAGCCGAACGATTGGCACTAGATTGAGGATTAATTGGTGCACCGAAATGAAGCACTGCCATACCATTAGCAACGTTTAGTATTTGATTTTGATAGTGTGACGGCGAAAAAACATTTGATGACACCGATCCCTCTGGTCGCGACGTACCTATATCATTCGAAGAGTTTTCAATGTTTGAGCGTACGGCAAGTGAAGGTTTCGCTGCATAGGGTGCATTCCAAATTCTGTATTCATAACGTGGTGCAGACAATCCCATTGTTTATTGTGGATGGACGACCGATAATATTGTCTACTTTCATAAGATATGGACCAATCTAGAAATCGAATGTTCCAACGTGACCTTCTGAATTTGAATCAAAGGGCATTTTATACGACAGTGAAAGTCCGAATCCATTACAATCGGAACGCTTGTGCTTATCTTCACTGTATCGTGAAGTGCGATCACTGCGATCCACAAAATGCATCGACACATCGTTCCTTTGTGGTAACAATCGTGTCTTGACGGAAGCCGATTATCCACCAACACGTCAACAACCATTTGCAAAACTCCTGCACGATAAGATTCGGGACGTGGTGAAGCAGCATAACTTACGTTGTTGCTGACGGAGTGATCTGATCTGCTTATGCACTGCTCCATTCTAGACTTGTTGTAAATGCTATTGAACACTGCTATTCTGCCATACTGTACTTCGTTCACAGAACATGTGGAACAAATATTGCAAAGATATGAAATAAAATTAGAAATAATACAAACGTGTTGTTTTGTCGTCGTTAAATCCCATCAGTGAAGATGGTAATGATCTTGGGCAGAAAGCAGACGACGGTAGCAGAGTGCTAGTGATCAAAACTCTGGAAATTCTAGTCATTCACAAAAAGCAACTTTAACTTCCTATTATTTCCTAGTTATTACTTCTCTCTTTTAAGAACCAATTTTGTTTCCAATTCGATTGAAATATTGGTTTAGTATCTTTTCTGTTTGGTTATGGAAGTGTTGGGTTGAGTAGATTGCAGAGAACTTCACCCTTCCAAACACTAAGCAAGGGGAAATCCGCCGAAACGTCAGTTTCATCGTAATAAAGAATAAAGTGGAATTCGCTTGTATCACTCTTTAATTGATAATGGATACTTGGATGACCCATCTTCACTCGTTGTGGGGGAGGGGGTCCAGCATAATCTCCATTTTTCGGAGAGTTGCTGGTTAAGCTATTTTGGTTCCCTGGAATCCCGAGGTCAGCCTGCCTGGCCAAAGTCTCCACCGAGTCTTTACCACCACAGGCAGTTAGTTGCTTGCAGCCCTTGTGGATCAGAGGGAAATTTGCTACTATGCGACTGTGATACCAGGACGGTGGTGGATCCTGGTATTGGTTTACTCTTAGCCAGACTTCCTGATGGAAACGCCGGACTCCTTCTCAGCCTGGGAGACTCTGCCAGAGGATGAATCTCCGCTGTACATCGCAGTCCGACACCCAGGAATGCCTCCTAGCCACGATGAGGCGGTAAACCGTCGGGTGGTGTATCACCCTTCAAATTCAAAAATTCTACTTAGAACATTTACTGTGGCATAGTTGAAGATCTCGCTGCAAAAATGGAATTCAGTTGTAGAATTTGTATCTAGAAAACCTCCCTCGTGTCATCAAAGTCTATATTTTGAACCCTTTTTTTCGTCTGCGTTTACGAAGCAATTCTAATTATTTACTTTCGATAAAAATTAACAAAAAAAACGAAATTCAAGAAACTGAAAATAAAAAGTGGGAAGTTAGGGATTTCTATGAACAACAACAAATTATTGGCCTTTCTTTCTATACTAAGCATTTGCCGTCCATAGGTCACAACAATGCTATTGAGAATAGTTAACGTGACGTCACACTGCTGGCTGAATATGTCAAGCTTGTAGATAGTGGTGAGGTAGCACTATATTGACCACTGGTGGCTCCAATAGCTCTGAAATAAGACGTTCTTGATATCTCAAAGGCATCAATTGCATCAATTTTATAACTGCTTAAAAAATGTGACCAACGACCAGAACTGGCCACTATCATGCTTGGGCGTGTCGCCTCATTGCCCACTCTGACAAAGTTGTAAACGGAACCATTGGTTTTTTAGGTCAGTTAGATACGTTCATGACTTACCTTGGTTGTGATGAGAGGCTCAGATCCACATGTGCTTGTGGTCCTACCATTTGTCTAGTCACCAGAGCTGCATAAGTACCAGGTTGTTGTAGAAGTTCGTCATGTTTTCCCATCTGCTCGACTTTGCCCTAGTAGTAAAGTAAATAGATGGAGTAAATAGAGTAAATAGAATTTAAATAGATGAAAATTAACAGGATTTAAACTGTTGACTACCTTGTTAATGACAATAATCTTGTCCGCTTTTTCTACAGTGGACAGCCGGTGTGCAATCATTATTACAGTTTTACCGCCCAGATTCTTGTAAATGGCCTCCTTAATGATAAAAACTTTCCAAGTTCTCTTTTCATAACTGTCTTCTGACAAGAGCAGCGATAATGTAAATGTCTGTATAGTCACATAATAATCGCTGTTCAGGCTTAGAAATTTCACTATTTTTTTATGTCCAGAATACATATCGAACGTATCTCTAATAAGAATATGATGACTACACGAAAAAGAAATTGAGGGAAGTTCTTCTCGAACCTGCACTAGATGTTCGGATTCTGTGTCGAGAGCTGATGTTGCCTCATCAAGTAGGAGTATTGCTGGTTGTCTAACCAATGCTCTTGCAATAGCAATCCGTTGTTTTTGACCCCCTATAAGCCTATTAATCTATTCGCAAATTCATAAGAGAATGGCGTCACTTACCAGACATCTGACTGCCTTTCTCTCCAACGTTAGTTGCGTACTTCATCGTCGTCTGCATAATAAATCCATGAGCGTTTGCAAGTTCCGCAGCTTTAACCACATCCTGAATTACAATACTAACTGTTTATTTACTGCCTATTATTCTCTATACCAGAGTGTTATGTGAAACACAACTACAATAATACTGAAATATTTGCAGAATTCGGAACCCCACGTCAGCTTCGAACTCGTGATTACCTTTTCGGGGAGTTCACGTGTTATTTAGTGCACCATCGAGACCTTTGCTTTGTTTTCACAGGCTAGTTTTTTTTTACCCTAACGGTGCTATCAGCAATCACTCATCAAAGGAAATGACCTAGGGAGTACAAATTGGCATTTGAACGCATTTAAACTGAACCTGCGGTAGAAAACACAACGTTTTGCTTATTGGATGTGCATTTGGCTTATTGGATGTGCATTTGGATCCCCTTATCTCATCCATGAAGCTACAGGTTCTCTATAACCACTAGAAACAAGCAACTACTGATAAATATGGATTAGTCTATGGATCGCAATTGGTTCATGGGCGATGCTAGATTGTCATTCGCTTACCCCCTCCATGACGTCTGCACCGTATCGAATGTTTTCGGCAATTGATCGAGCGAATAATACTGGCTCTTGCCCAACAAGAGCAATCTGTAATACAATGTCTTTACATTTACCATTAGTTCGAATAATCATCTTGTTAAATCGTCAAATGAACTAATTAACTGTCATCTTCCGCATAATGCTCTAGAGAATCCAGTGGCCTCCTATCGCTCTTGGAATAGAGAAAACATCATATTCACATCCATGATGCTTGTGAGGAATCTTCTGTACACTTCTGTCATGAAATTCAACTTGGTGATTTCACTAGCACTGCCGTGGGCAATGTGAAGATGGCAGAGTTGTTAAACTGTTATTGGTACTCGACATTCACTCTTACTTTTTTCTACCTTAGTACGCAGTAGTTAAAACGTTTGAAGTGACATACTAAAATTTTGGGTAGTATCCGTACCCAGGAAAATAGCACGTGTGGCGCAATGGTTGGAGGGGCCACTGCGACACACATGGAATCGATCTCTGCGTCCATGGCCCACCAAGCCTTCCATCCCTCCAGGGTGAGCAAATTAGTACCAGACTTGTCTTGGAGGATAGCAGCACCGGCTCGATACATCGGTAGGCCACCACGAGTCATTGTAAAGGCCAGATATGCATTAAATCTCCTCTAACGATACTTAATGAAGTCTAATGGACGGCACATCCCTCAGGGATTGATCAACACCGAGAGCTTTATCCTTTATCTTTTATTATCCATTTCCAGAACATTCCATGTTCCGTAACCATTTCGTGAGGTGTGCAGTTTACAAAAAGCTTTGAGGACATAGCACTGCTGAGAATGTGATGCCTACTTGGACCAGTCATGGCAGCCACAAAACACTGAACTTAAATGTTGTAGCTCTAATTGTAACTGTCTTATTCGAATTGATACTCTTGTTGACGCCCACGATGGTTATTATTGCTCAAGTCTGGGCAATTCAAGCTAATTTCCAAGCCTCGCTTTGAAACCACAGTATTGTAAAGTGGTATAATTTTCGTTATGGAGTCGTTGGACTGTTATAAATTTGTTCTAACCCATCAACTTCTATTAACCTCAATATTCGTAACAGCTGCGATGGATTCGGAAACTATGGCAGATTTATTCTGCTTGAAAATTTGCATATGGAGAGAATACGTACCAACGAGAGTGTGAATGAATTCTGTATAAATCATTGGGGCGAAGAGCACAGTGGCAGTGATGTCCGTCATCACGAGCGTGGTACCAGTTCGATTCCTCTCCGGACCAACCATGCTTCTCATCCCTCCGGGGTCGCGAAATTGGTACCGGACTTGTCTGGGAAGAAATCACTCTCTGCAATCCAATTGGGAACTCTCCAGCCTGGTTATTTCAGGACTCCAAGGAGAATTGCTCGACTAACATTCTACGACATTCAACATGAAATGAAAATCCTCAAGCAGCAACCGAAGCCACACTTAAAATTGGATGATCTTCGTAGACAGAGTGAGGAAACAAACCGAATGTGAGAAGTGCTGAGATTCGCACAGTAGACGTGAAGACGGGTCAGATAAAATAAAACAAAATAAAATAAACCATTGAAAATAAACGAGAAGAAATATGATTGTAAACGGACTTTCATTTCACCTCGGTATAAATGATCAATGTACCTTATTTCATTAATCTCACCTTTCACGAAGTTGTTACGAAACGTTTATTCGACTAACGCTTCGTCGTTTTCGTCTTCATCAGAGTTGATGATCCGTGTCGATAGTCCACCGTCGTTCATCTGCTCGACGTGGCGTCTCAGTCTTCGTATCCAGTCGAATCTTCTTCAGCGGAGTACCGCTAGAATGAAGCACCGTCACCCGGCAGCGCCCTTTTATAGAGAAACCTCCAGATGATAAAAACAACACATCGAGAAGACGAGCAACTGTGGACCATCGACTCCGATGATCAGCTCTGATGAAGAAGAGGATGTCGGAACGGTAGATGAATAAATATCTGGTGGCAAGCTCGTGTTAGCTTATCAATTAAACAAAGTACATAAACGAGAAATGTTACTATTCTGAAACGATCATTAATAAAAAAATAACAACAAATTATTGAGAGACGTTTCCTGAAATCCATTGGAGTAAGATGAATGTACTTTTCCTCAGTACAATTAAACTGAAATGTTCAGTATCTAGTCCCTAATTTTCTTGAGATCTGAATAATTAGTAGCTCAAAATGAACACCGGTTTCACTGTACGCTCTTACTCAAACTAAACTGGAGGAATGAAGTATGCAATCAACCTTTCTATGTATGTAATGATGTTCGTACTCTTCTATCGGCACATCGTCAATGAATACTTGACCAGCAATTGGTTGGTAGAAGTTTTCCAATAGGGCGATGCAAGATGACTTGCCTGATCCAGAGGGTCCCACCAAAGCCACAGTTTCTCCCGGTTCGACAGTGAACGAGAGGTCCTGGAATCCAATTACTTTCCATGGAAGTATACGCATGAAATAATTCCTCTAAGCAAAATAGCCTTAACAATTTCATCAACTATTTGAGACGTCAATATTGCGTTCCTGAAAACAGTACCTTCTAAATTCAAGTCCACACGTTTTATTTTATTTATTATAAATCTTCGAGCAGTTCTTACCTGTAGTTTTATTGTTTCTTGAAAGCTGCGTGGAGAAAAAAGATATTGTCATCCTTTCGAACCGAAACGCTTCATATTGAACTCACTCGAAGAATTGGTACATTATTTCTCGTCGGATAGCTGAAGTGCACATTTCGGAATTCAATACGACCTCTGAGCAATGACGGTTGAGCTGCACCATAGTGAAGAATTGTCGGAGCACGATCAATGTACTCGAAAACCTTCAACGGTGAGATGATTGTGAAAGATGAGATGAATCATTTATTATTTGTTTTAATTTAAAACAAAATCGAGAGGGCGACATCATAGTGGTAATTATGTGGGTCATCACGAACACGGTGCTGGTTTAACCCTTTCCGAGGTCACCAAGCCTCTAATCTCTCAGGGGGCAGGAAACTGGAACCAGGCTGTCTGGGCTTAGCCCACTCCTACAATACATGTGGGAACGCTCTAGCTCGACTTTCCCAGGAATCAAGGGGCAACCGAGTCAACCAGCATTCAATGACATCGATAAATTAGAGGACAAACTCAAGCAGCAGCTAAACCGACATGCAAAAGTTGGAAGACATTCGTGAGTGAACGATGGGAGGAAACGAATCGAATGCAAGAAGTGCAGCGACCCAAACGCCAGATGTGAAGATGGGTCGTATACAAAAGTTAAAGATCTTTTCGCTGATGAAAATGACTAATGCTGAGAATTCTTCTGGTTTTTTTCCCCGTTTTTCTAAACACTCCATTGAAATAAATTTTTATATCTTGCTATAAGTATCAATACCAAATACCACTACTAAATACCAACTAATACCAGGATCCACCACCGCCGTAGTATCAAACTAGTCCCTTAGTGGCAAATCTCCCTCTGATCCACAAGAGAGGCGACTGCATGTGGTGGTAACGACCTGAGGTAGACTTTGGCCAGGCTGACCTCGGGACTGCAGGCAATCACAATGGCTAAACCGGTAACTCTCCGGAGAATGGAAATTATGCTGTGGTCCGCACAACCAGTGAAGATGGGTCATCCAAGTATCCAAGTATCTTGGTATAAAACATTTAAGCTAAATACGCATAAAAACCTATTATTGGTCCCAAAAATTTTATCCACAACACCATTAAGAACTAAAACCAACCGTAAGGATTAAAGAGAAGTAAGACTAGATGTCAAAAGAAACCTTCCTACTTGCCCCTACTGACTGCATTAAGCCTGTCCAAACTTCACCCATCTGTCGTAGATTTTCACACAGCTGCATTTGATAAAGAAGGAACGATATGAGTAAATCACCCTGTAAACGTTTTTTCAATAAAAGTGTAAAAATAGCTCAAAAGACAAGAAAAATCCAACTAACTTTCATCTTTCCTGTTAGTACAAGATGCCCTCCATACCACAATACCGCAACTATGATGAAGGTTTGGAATAACTGAATATATCGGTTTTCATGATTTTTCTTATACAAAAACGACAATTAAGATGTAGTCACGTTTTATTTACTGCCTATTCTTTTCCCATAGGAGGGTATAATGCGAAATACAACTACAAGCGTGCTGAAATATTTGCAAAACTCCGGGCCTGCCCACCACATTTCAGCATCACTGCAGTTGTATTTGACATCAAACCTTCCATGAAAAAAGAATAGGCAGTAAATAAAAGTGACTACATTATGACTTATATTACAGGTTCAGTCTAACTGTGTTAAATGCTGATTCGTGCTCCCTAGATCAATCCCGTTGACGGGTGACTGCTGACAACGCCTACAAAACAGTGCTGAGAGAAAGGCGAAACGAAGGAAAGACATGGTGTGGTGGCGAACACGTTAGCCCAGTAAAGGGTAATAACGACGTTCGATTGCCGCCGCAGACACCTGCAGTCAGGGGTTGTACAAATATCTCAACATCACTGTGGTTGTAATCACGAAATTAAATTTATGCGCTTTAATGTTAAGTAGAGAATTTTAATCTCTTGCTATCTAGTTCACTAGTAAAATTTGCGTATTTAAACCTCAGCAGACACCACTATATCCACAAGAGAGCGAATATTAAAGACTGTTCCCAATTTTTTAGGAAATCGCATTTCAGTGGCACCCTCGTCAACCGTTTCATCGTACTTCTTCGGTGCAGAAAACATTTCCCCAAGCCTCAAACTTGGATTGGATAATTAATTATTTAATCATTAAACTTGGTTTAATTATCCAAGTTTGAGGCTTGGGGAAATGTCTTCTGCACCGAAGAAGTAAGATGAAACGGTTGACGAGGATGCCAGTGAAATGCGATTTCCTGAAGAATTCTAATCACGAAATTGCGACGCGCTACTAACGTCGGAAGTTTTCTTATTGTTGGAGCACCGACGACAGCAGAATGAAGCAAAAGACGAAATCGACATTACGAGTGAAGTCTTCGTTAAGATTCTCAACTACGCCCGTCGTTTATCTCGGTTCAAAAACCGCGAAACAATTAAAGACTGTTATCAATTTTACAAGAACTCATAACACAACGCAAAGGCACAAACCTCGGAAACCCATAAGAAACCAATGTATGCTATCGCTTTGGTTTTTGCAACGTTGAGCGTTATCGTTAACTTCATGTAGAATCGATCAGCTTCGACATTTTCACAGGCAAATGACCGTACCGTTCGCATCGTAGACAATACCTAGACGGACAGATTGTACACGTAAATATGAACTACTTCTAACTTTACAACTAATAAAATACTCTATAAAATCGAAACCTCTTCAGCAACATCGTTCGATTCGGCGACGGAGTTCTGGGTGCGTTCGGAAAGCAACTGTAATCGTAAAATTATGTGGTGTTGTGCTGCACATTTTGTGCTGTACTAAGTATCTTCTTCCTTAACAGTATTGATCACAGTCGTACCTACGTACCTGTGTTGGAAGAAACTGTTCTAAATGCGAAACAAACATACTCTTGGTCAAGACCTAACTGCTACTGAAAAGATGAGACTACAGAGGTAAAAGTGCAGCGCTCAAGAGTATTTTGATTAACATCATGAGCAAAATATTTAAGACTGTACCAAAGACACTGTTCGAACCAATTATCAACGAATAGTGCTCCATTTTACAACAGTACATAATGCAATACGGAGAGCAAAGTTATGTTCCGGAAGAACTCGACATATTACATGGCCTAGTTAAACCCCCTATATATACGTAGAGATTATACAACTAGTGGATCATTACTGTTTTCTAACAGATGCTGATTCCCAATAGGCGGAACAATCATAGTTAAGAAAAACCCAACAACTTCGTCCAAAAGCCCAGCTAAAACCACATCCATTCCAGGATACAGCCTCAAAAACCACTAACGTCATCGCAAAACGCATTGCAAACGAGGAGTTTCATATGAAAACTTGAAAGCGTGCTGGAGATAATGAATCTTAATGGGCAAATCTAACGGGCGAAAGGACAGGGACAAATGGAGATATTCTCTTATTCTCTTGAGCTTCTCGAACTTCATGAGCTACTTGATTACTAGTGAGATTACAGATGAAAGACGTTATACAAGTAATAGAAAATTCGTGCTTGATTTCTTATAAAGTCATTAAATTGGAAGAATAATTCCAAACACAGCTTACTGGAAAAGTGTTGAGATGGACTGAGGGAATTCCGTTGTATACATGTATACAATATTTTAGAATTGATTTCCTTCGTATTTTTGTTGAGCAAACGCGAGGTGTTACTATTCTTTGTTCACGATTAAGCTGACGTTTCGGCGGATTTCGCCTTCTTCAGAGCCGCTTTCTATGAGGTTTCCACTAAGTATGTCACGTAGAGACCAACCGCACAGAAATCACGTGGAAGTATAATGTGAATTGAATTTAGAATTGACTAGTAAATAATCTTATCAGTAAATGGTCCTTAACACTAATATAGAATCTTTCCAGATAGTAGACGTGGCTTCCAAACATTTTCGGCCTTATTACCACATTCTTCCGAAAACCACAAACAACAACAACTCACGTCGTAATAAGATCCGAAAATTTTCGATGCAACAAAAATAATCGGCACCAAGATAAATGTGATAAGTGAAAGACGCCACGACAATGTCATCATGAAAATCATCGATCCAAGCAGCATTACGGCATTTCTAAGAGAAATCATATAGCCGGTCATAAAACGTAATATTTGAAATTGTAGAGAAACCGATCGCTAAATTTACCTGAGGAATACGTTCACATTCATCGCCACCATGTCGGACATTGTTTGACAGTCAGCAGCAATACGTGAAGCAATTTCACCTGAATGTATTTGATTTAGCTGATGACGATAATCAAGGGAATGGCCAGATTCAAGAGATGAGAATCAAGAGATCTCTGCCTCGTCGCTCAACCACCAACGATTTACAAAGTGAGTCTAACAATAGCAGCAATTGCTCTCTACTTCCCTTCTTCTATAGCTCTACAGGGCTAATTAAATTTGATAGCTTCTCACTTCACAGCAACAGAATTTACTTAGCTAAACCTTAGAATCTGAATTTGGATTAAAAAAAACGTTTAAGCCGTGAAATAAGCGCTGTTTAAGCACAGATCGGCCTATTTATCTGCGATTTGTGACGAGAGTCTGCTGGTAAACAAAAGAACCCAGCAACAATTTCCAAAATAATTTAACTGAATCTATCGCAAAATCAATAGGCGACGAAAGGTGAAAAGGACAACAATGCGCAAACGATAAACTTTTCAGTTTGACGCGGTAAGAAAGCTCCAAAAAACACACAGAGATTCTGCGTGGGCGATTCCACTAAGACTCCGTTGGCACACTTACCTGTCTTATGAGCGTCAAAGAAAGCGACTTCCTGTCTGACCACTCCTGTGAATAAATCGTATCTTATGGCTCGATTAATCCTCGAATACGCATACTCGAATGATCCACCACGAAGCCCAGCTGCTATAGCACTGAAATGGGTTCCTACTAACTATGCATCTCTAAAGTTTCAGAATTCAAAAACTATTGAGTAGCCAACGTAGTCAGCAATGCCATCAAGATCGTCTGCAGTTGACTGCATCTGTGTGAGTGATCTCCAGACTTTGAATTTAACACACCTTACTAGACTTAATCTCTCTTCATTCAATTGAATTCTATCTATTCCAACGAATTCTACGCGTCGCTTATTTATTCGGTGCTTACATTCTCTTCTAAAGGTTTACACTCATTTGATTTGAACGAGTGCAGAGGCTTACATATTTTAATCAACCGCTATTGCAAATGGTGCGAACAAAGAAAATAACCAATATAAAACTTCCACAATTTCCATTCTGCCATGAACATCATCCACAATGGCAGCCTGTTCTGCTCACAGTGACACCAATGTTGTTGAACACATTTAGTCCACATAATCTAAGAAGTTTGCTAATGTTATAACGGGTTTCCTTAAACGCTTTGCAACACCTTGAACCCTTCCTCACCATTATCTTCGTCCATACGCTCATATGGACAATTCTTATAACACGAGTGATAAATGCTATGATAAATGATAAATGCTATGCTATGCTATGATAAATGAATAAATCGATGATAAATGCTTAGCCATAATCTGACATCTCAACTGAACATGAGGGCGCTGGAAGAACTACTACGCAGAACAAGGGATTGTAGAGTTGTTTATGACATTTGCTTTTGCAGTGTCGTTGTAAGCGATGAACCTACGATTTTCTCTTTAGAGACTGGAACAACCAAATTATCATGCCATCCACTCAGTCAAACACTAATAACTTCAGCAGACAAAATAATACGCTGATGATTAAACGCATAGTAAACAGCTTCTTTTAAGCATTCAACGTTTTATTGTTCTTATGTACTCCGGGAGACTCCGTATAACTGGTTTCCAATAACAGCCTGAGGACTTAAGAACAATAAAACGTTGAGTGCTTAAGAGAACAGCTTAGTCGTTTGCATTTTGTTTTGTCTGATGAGGTTATGATAGTGTCTGACTGAATAGAATGCGTCTCACTTTGATTCTTCTAAGCTCAGAAGAAACTGCCGAAACGTCAGATACTGTATATTGATAAACACTATAATAACAATCTCATGTTTGCCATCAACGAAAATAGTGAATTATTGATCAATGAAGAGGTTAAGAGAAAGTCAGCCTTGAGATTTGCTCTTCATCGCAACAAATTTTTCAGTTATTCCTTACTTTGTTCACCTTTTTAAGCAACGCTCCCCTTTGTCGTCCGTCGTCTGAGAAGGAATTTAAAAGTTATTACCGAAAGTTGAACAAGGAATGGGTTAAAGTGGCAAGAGCGGCTGGGTTAAAACCATCAGTTATCTCTCCTCAAAATTGACTAACCAATATTTCCCGTCCTGTACTTACTTATCAAAACCCATAAGTTAGTATCCAGCGATGATCTCGTGTCTACCGATCCGTCGTTATTTAAGGTTAGACCTATCATTAGCTGCGTGGACGGGCCAACGGATAGAATAACGTGGTTAATAACCCTAATACTTACTCAGTTGTTGAAGTACATTCCAGCTCATCTAACGAACACCCAAATGTTCCTGGATCGTCTACGTAACGCGCGACCCAACAGCGCGTACGTGGTGGAGTCCTTCGACGTCACTGCCCTGTATACGAACGCGTCGAATGACTCCGCTATGCAAGCCATAAACGAGCTCCTTATACAACACGAAGGAGCAATAAACATGTATGGCTTCAGGATAGAGCACCTGATGGCACTCTTAAAAGAATGCTTGAGCTGCTCAATCTTCAGATGGTGTCTGGAGAGTACTACCCTCAAATAAGAGGGTTGGCAATGGGACAACGACTGGCTCCAAACCTTGCCATTGCATTCATGTCTAAGGTGGAAGCGCCAGTAATCGACCTCGGTCCGTTACTCTACTGTAGATGTATAGATGACTGCTTGGTCATTTGTTCAACGCAAGAAGAAATCCACAGATGTTTCGAGTTGTTGAACACAGTCAGAGTATATTAAATTCACCTGAGAGAAACCAAAAGAAGACTGGCTTCCATTTCTGAACGTGCAAATTAGCCTATCAGAAAACGGCTACATTACGAAGTGGTATCGAAAGCCAAGTAGTAAAAACATCCTAGTTCATTACCTCTCCACTCATCGCTCTCACACGAAAAGGGCACTTGTGAGAAACATGTATCGAACAGCTACCAGCGTGTGCACAGGAAGACAACAGAGAGAGGAGTCCCGGAACTTGGCGTGGCAAATAGCCATTTTAATGGCTACGAAACCGTAGCTCGAGAAAGGTGTAGAGGAAACCACAGGTACCCCAACGATAACTCTAGCAACAACAAGGTCCCGTTTATACTGCCCTTCATTTCAAATGAAATAAGTGCGGCTATAAAACGCTGTTTAATAAAGGCCAGTCTAGAGAATTCGGTAACGATAATCGAAATACCACCGAGTAATCCAAGGCGCCAGCTAGTTCGTAACCGCCTATACGACCGTCCATGTGCAACGCAAAATTGCATAATTTGCCCCAATGGTAGAGACGGTGACTGCATGAGTTCGGGTAGTCTATCTGATCTCTTGAAAAGCGTGCAAAGACGAATACGTTGGCGAAACGGGTAGACTCTGCGTACGTATAACGTATAACGTACGTATAGAACACCTAGTCGCCAAACGTAAGCCAAGTACTCCACTAGGTACACATAGCACGGAGAAACATAACGGAGAAGATTTTGAAGTAAGGGTTACGATCCTCGCGCAAGAATCGAGAACACAAGCGCGCAAAACTCCAGAGGCATTCTGGATTCCCACGACCGACTTTCTATTAACCTCGGCATTGATCAAGTAATTCTTCGTATTTTTGTTGAGCAAACGCGAGGTGTTATTGTTCTTTATTCACGAATAAGCTGACGTTTCGGCGGATTTTGCCTTCCTCAGAGCCGCTTTCTATGAGGTTTCCACTAAGTATGTCACGTAGAGAGCAACCGCACAGAAATCACATGGAAGTGTAATGACATAATAACAACAAAAATACGAAGCATTCTGGATTAATTCTAAGAATCCGAAAATGAACCACAGGGAGAAATGCCTCGTTATCACGCGTGATATTGGATAGTATATAAACCTGTTATTCTGATGGGAGAGACACATTACGCTTCCATGTGAATTCTGTGCGGTCGGTCTTCACGCGACATACTCAGTGGAAGACTCATAGACAGCGGTGAGTGTGCAGAGCTATGCTAAATGTAATTGAAATCTTGGTTTAGCGTTTTCTCTGTTTGGTTATGGAGGTGTTTGGCCGAATGGATTGCTGTCAACTTGACCCTTCCAGGCTCTGAGGAAGGCGAAATCCGCCGAAACGTCAGCTTGTGCATAAATAAAGAAATAAAATAGCACCTCGTGTTTGCTGAACAGAAGTAGAATGATATATTCAGTCAATGCCGAGGTTAATAGAAAGTCGGACTTGGGAGTTGCTACTCCTTCACTTGTACTACCACAAAGCCAAAGAAATATATGTCTCACAGTAATTTTTAACAAACGCGCAACTGCTTTTCCATATGATCGACAGACTTCACCGTCCATTACAAGGCAGCAACGCATAATCTTGCCAAGGAAGAGGCACTACGTCGTCGAGTTCTCTTTAGGAGACGATAGATAGCTTCATGATGGAAGAGAACGGATTCATTTCTTAGTGGACAAGTGCAGAGAGGAATACCGTTTCTTTCGACAACGTCGAACAATTTTTTTCAGTTTGAAAAAAGCGTACGCAAACAGCAATGGAAAATTTCAAATGTTCAATTGGTTTAGCCTCATCTGAGACCTTCGTAATTCTCTAACTCTGTTAGTGAAGTGATGATGAAGTATGCTTAATAAGCACGTTGACGGCACGGTATTAGAGTTACGAAGACCAGCTAGTTGTATACGACCTTTTTCCAAGTATGGTCTTTTCACAAACTGTCGATACCTTTCGACCTACCATGGATACGCACATCACAGAAAACCAAGCTCCTCGCTCTGCTTTCATCACAGTTCAGCGAAGCAGTTTCCTTCAAACTTCTTCCTCCACTTTATTTAAATACATGAACGGACCACCATCACGAACTAGGAAAAATTGGGCGACGTTCACCAAAACTCCACATGTTTGATCATTTATCGATTGAACAACATTTTTTCTCTCTCTTATGAAAACCTGGAAAGTCACATTTATGCAACTACTAGTGAACTAAATAACACCATGATTGCAGTAATTCCTAGTATCGGGTTATGCGTAGTGGGGCTTCGAAAGGAAATATCAAGAACTTTCTTAGCTTGAGAGACCATGTTGAGGGATTAGTTCTAGCTAGATGTCGCAGTTCTATGTCCAGAATTAGCATCTAGATACCCAAAGTGGTAAACTATTGGGCAGTTTTTCTGCACAACGCTTGATGTACCACTCATTGGTCGTAGCCGTAGAGGAATCCTGAATCGCAGTGAAGTGGCGCCCACAAATCGAAGATAGGAGGTTAAACACTGATTAGAAGCAATTGGAGCTTGACGAGCTATCCGTAAATATCTCCTTATTAGTAACAATAATGACAAAGAGACTCATCTAAATGTTGAAATATCTATGACCATCATCGATTCAGCAAGTGATTTACAGTAGCAAATTAATATTTTATATTAACTATTTTGCTTTCTTCATATTACTCTTCTTTCTTGTTTACTCAGGAGGGATGTGAGTTTGCTAAACCCACGGACGGTTTGTACCATCGACCGCGTGTATATTGCAAGACATCTCTAATCAGTGCTCTTCAGCGTCCCCTATTACGGACTCTATTAAATAACAGAAAAATCCGCAAGAGAAAATAGTGGTCTAAAGCGGTAACAAATAAATAAGACACTTTGTCGTTTAAAAAAACTTTAAGTGGAATTCATTCTCATCTTACCTGACACAAGAAATGAATGCCATTACAGAGACGGATGCTGCAAGTGCCGAATAAGACTTTGTCGCCACTACAGTAGCGATGACCTGTCCAGTATAGTACGGCACAAAGATACGCGCTGAATACAAAACCCACATAAAATCTAACTGACAAATAAATCAATATGAACCAAAATAGTAATAAAAAGGAAGAAAAATTTACAAATAGATAATGCATACAAGTCAGTCGTTCTTTCGCCAATGTTCAGCTCTATTTGGTCTACAACTATGATGAACCGAGTACTATCAACATGACAGATTAAGCATAGCGCGATCAAAGAGTTTACCGACATATTCAGACTATCTATTACCAATTTCGAACGTTACTTCTGTCCAATGGTAGATTTACTAAGTCGGTGAGTTAAAAATGAGAGTAGACAGCTTCTATTTTGTGCACACTGCAACATTGCAAAGAAGGTAACCAGTGCAGACGACCTTTGTGCATACAAATAAGGATGTATAGTAAGTTCAAGTGCCGGCTGCTTTCATGCATTCAAAAACTGCACAACAACTACAGAAAAAGTGTTGAACAGTGGGAATGATCTTAGTTATCTCGAATGCACATCGACACACAAAACCTTCGAACCGTTTCTGTATTCATGTCAAGAACTTGTTTAAACCACGACTGAAAAGCGCTTTTCCACTACATTACATGACTGGATACATTGAACCACAGAACAAATCATCAGAAAAACCTATATAACACTCCCATAAATAAATTCCCTAATAATTTTGCCACCCATGGAGCGTGAAAAACGAGAGAGGCCGAATTACTGAAAAAAGGATTAAACCTCTGACCATATCCATGGACTCTAAATTTGGTCGCTTTGTTTCATAAAGGAATGAAAGAGACATATTTTTGAAATTTACATACTAATCGAATAGATGAAAAGCCATGAAAATCCGGAAATATGCCAAACCCATTCTCTTCTGCAGTATTGCAACAGACGAAATATGAGCTCAAAGGTCTCCTTTGGTGGTCTTTCCTGTTCCTAAACGATTTCTGTTACACAATATTATTGTTCCAAACGGCAAATTTTCGAGGGTAAGGTGGGCCGAATACATAATGCGTTTGAATGATAGCCGATGAACAACAGTCGTCAGCGACAGGATTTCCCGGCATGTCACACACACTGCAGGAAGAGCATCGACCTGATGGTCACAGTTCTTCACGAAAACCCTAGTAGAAACATATAATGCTCGACGAGTTCCGAGAGCTAGCAGAACCCATTGGAGTACTCTTGCACGCGACAAGGAGAAATAGAAGTTTTTCTGACGTCCGCTCTAGTCACTCCACGATCAACGGGGTGGTAGGTGGTATGGTAATTTACTCATATTTTTCAAAACTGACTATCATTTAACCTCGGTATGCATGACCACTATTTTTTACATTCCTGAGCCAAGATATGACTGTCATTAGAAGGTTTATTTCTCGCCTTCTTCAAAGCTGCAATGATATGAGGCGATCGTTCGCAGCCTTCTGTCCTCGCTATGTGCGCACTTCTTACAACCTCGTGTTAACTTAACAATCTGGGAAAAAACTGATAAAACAGATAATTTTCTGTTTCTGTTCCATAAGGCTAAGTTTCACTGCGATTTTACAAGTCAAGAATATAGCTTTCTAACGTATAAAAGGATTTTCATACCCTACAATTCTATAAACTATTCTTTAAAGCCCAGTAAATCACCTAATTACAAAAATCTAGACGAAGACAACGTTGCATTTTAAGAGTCTCCATCACACAGGAATTTTCACATATCCCAAACTTGTCGTTTTTTCCTGCACTAAAATGTTTAACGAAGACTGAAAAATTGAACACTGAGAATCTATTCTCTTATGACATAATTTTCTCCAAAAATTCAAATTTGCTGATAGAACCTATAAAACTCGACTGACAGAAGGGCAAAACGAAGGACCGGCATGGTGAGGTGGTGAACGTGTTAGCCTCCGAAATGGATAGTACCGTGTTCGTTTCCCACCGCAGACACTTGTGGTCCGGAATTTCGTAAACATCTCGGCATCATTGTGGATAAAAATTTTACTTAGTAAAACGTTTCAAGACTAAATTTGAGAAACCACACTCAGCTTGTCAGCTGCACGATGATAAGCTACGCACTTAGATAGTCCTAGACTGAGTTGATATAGGTCACGCTTATGGTTTAACGGCTGGCCAAGGCTATTCACAGGTCTGAATTTCGGAATGAATCCATCGCAAGATTTTCCAGTAATTGTGGCTGCTGTACATGTAACCCTTATCAGAACCTCCGATACCGAAATTTTCAAAATTTAACTTCTTTCTACTAATGAAAAAAACATGCAAGGAGCAAGAAAAAAACGTAAAAATATAAACGCAGACTTACGTCGTCCACTTCGTCTAAAATCACATAATTAGATAGAGGACGGCTAAAGTAGTACTTCCAGGACAAGTCCAGAATTAAAGCCGCAACAAAATTCCATGCAAGGAAAGCATAATCACCTGTGGGCAAAAGAGTACCTAAACAAATAACTGAAAATGTTTCACTGCAGTCCAATTGATGAGTTTGAAAAAAAACGTGATTAGTTCGAATATGATGTGCTACGATAGGTCGGTAAAACATTTTGAAGCACATTCAAACGCAAAGATATCGGATTTCTCCGAAAAACATTTTACCTACCAGGTTTGAATTTTTCGGTGAGAATAAGTAGCTTTGTTGGACTTGCAGCATACATCAGAAGTGATGTACAAAAAATGACCTTAAATCACTTAACGACATCAAAGGCAATTATTTACGCAATCAGTTATTTTCGTAATAAACTTTTATCCTGGCAGTGCCTGTAGCGCAGTAGTCGGAGGTGCCTTGCAATACACATGAGTCCGAATTCGATCCTGTGCCCATGGTTCACCAATCGTTCCATCCCTCTGGGGTTCGCAGATTGCTACCACATCTGACTGGGAGAATAGTAGTATTGACTCCTTACATCGGGTGTCCACTATGAGTCACAGTCTAGGCCAGATATGCATTCAATATCCTCTAACGATCCTTGATAAAGTCGAATGCATGGTCCATACCTCACGGATTGATCAACACTGAGATCTTTATCCCTTCTTATCCTTTTTACCTCTATTTGAATCCCTTTATAATATATTATAAGTTATATTGTTTCTAATACTTAGTGTAATCCAGTATGTACTGTGATCTTGAAATAACCGCATGCAGTGACAGAGTCGCTATAGAGCCACTCATGAACTAATTAAATAGAGCATCACTCACTCTCCCCCTAACTTCTCGAAGCAATAGAGATTCCTTGCAATCTACGAATAGGCAAGCTGTTGGCCATCACCATATTTACTAGCTTACCACTTAACATTTACTGAATATCTGTTTATCACGATGATGAAGATGAAGACGTCGAAACGTTAGCCGAATAAACCTCTTTATCAACCTCATGTTAGCTTAACCATCCAAGAAAGTGTTAACATGGTTATTTGGGCAATAAAAAATGTCGGCTTTTAAAGAAATAATTAATTTAAATTACGCTGTGGAAATACCGTATTTAATCTAGGCAAATGATCAGCACGTCCTGTTTTATGAAGAACAGCTGGCAGTAGCCATAAGAATATCCTTACTGCACAGAGCAAAAACAAATCCACAGCACTAAATTAACTACTTTTGACACGTTTATGGAAAAGTAAAGAATAAAGCAACATTAAAAACATTAATACGAATTAAAAAACTGATTCACAAACTGTCTTCATCGGCACAGTCCAGACTATGTTATTTTTAAAAAATTATGGTTCTTTTCTTTGTCAAAAAACAGTAATCTCTTTTGATGCCTTTTTATCTACAGCAATCGTCTATACTTCTAGAACGTATGAAACGCTGACACTTAAGAAAGATTGATGCAAGCACTTTATTATTTTGTGGAAAAATTCGTCGCAACATGAACAAACGGATATGGGTGCAAAAAACTTTGCTATATTTGGCCTTTAAACAGCGCTCGATTACCGCGTACTCAACAGATTTGCGTTCTATATCGCAACTACACTAACAGTGATTGCCACTGTCATAGTCAGCCGCTTGTGTTTCTCATTCAACTGGCTTCCTAAGACACAATGAGCAAGATAAACAATTCCAAAAACTTGGATAACTCATCCAAAGGTAGTAGTTAATTATATCATTTAATTTCGCTTAAACTAAAATTCTCTAACCTTGTGAATACGGAGAATTGTGTGAATTGTACGATGATGCCTTGCCATAACGGTTTGGAGGTATGGAATGAGGCGCAAAACAGGCATATTCCTACATCCATGAACGACATCACTAGACCCCAACAAAGTCGATTCGTTACGGTCGCCATTCCCACCTGTAAATGCAAACTCTCAAGTAGTGAGAAATATGAAGAGTTTCGGAAATCAAATTGACGGCTTCAGACAGTGGAATTTTCATTTTTTCTTCTATCAACTACCGCAGTAAAATTCTTCTCCTTTTCTCTCTCTAATAGGTGGGACCGAGAGAAATAAATGCATACGAGAAAGCTCGGTAATAATATAACGTTGACATAAAAGGTGAAACCACTGTCAAAAATAAAAAAAAAAACAATAATAGATTAACTGATTATGCCACGCTGACAAAAATGCGAACATTCCAAATTTTACTTAGCCTCATATCACCTGTATCACCTGTTTTCCCGTTGATTGTCGAGTGACTCGAGCAGGCACCAGTAACTTTGACTATCAGTTCGCTGGGCCCTCCTGCAGCATGTTTGACACCCCAAGAAACTTAATAGTGACGTCCGGAAAGGCAACAGAGAAAACCATTCACGATTGCTACTTAGATCTATTCAAAAACCACATCTTGCTATCCTCATATGAAATAAAGGGACGATGGATATATCGCACCACCGGCTCCCCCTATCCGATATGCTATTTCGTTGGTGAAAAATCGAACAGCAGCAAGTCCGGGCAGGATAAGAATTGAACACCTGAAGAACCCTCCGCTAGTCCTCGTAAACACACTGACTCGGCTCTTCACACGTTACCTGTCTGAATGCGAGGTCCCTACTCAATGGAAGACCAGCAAAACCTTGTTATTGTTCAAGAGGGGTGACGTACACGATATCGGCAACTATCGCTCTCTCTCACTTTCATCAATTTATAGAAGACCTTTGATTCAGTTGAGATAGAAGTAGTCATGGAAGCCCTTGATAGTGAGGGAGTCCCTACTCAGTACATAAAGATTCTTCGTGAGCGGTACAACCAACCGGTACCGGTATTTCACAACCAAGATATAACCATTCTACAACGATATTGACATCAACGTCAAAAGAGGGTTTAGGCAAGACGACATGATCTCGCCAAAATTATTTATCGCCACCCTTGAGAATGTTATGAGTGAAAATCAATGGTCGCCAATTATACAACTTTCGCTTTGCTGATGAAACAATTCGCTTAACACCACACACTATAACACTAACACATAGACAAACGGAACGAATGCTTGCCGACTTTGACAACGCATGTGGAAAAATTGGTCGTCGACTAAATCTCACAAAAACGACGTTCATGAGGAACAGACTGATTACGTATGTCCTATTCACGCTCAAAGGAATGAATAACTCCGATTGCTCCAGTCAAGTCTGCTTAAGTCGGAAAATCAACATGGTGAACGACTTGGGTCCAAAGTTGAACAGAAGAAAACTATGGACTTAAGGAACTTCGAGCATGGAAGACGTAGTGAAAAAAAACAGCGAACCTCCGACTCCGTGTTCAGATTGTCCACTCCACGATTCTTCTTTCTTTAACGCATGCGTCAGAAGCCTGTTCGCTATGCAAGCGGGATGAAAAATCACTCAGCGTTACTGAACGTGCAGTCGAAAGGACGATGCTAGGATTATCCTGTGTCACATAAGTGAAGGGATCCGAAACTCCGATCTGTGTCAACGATCAAAAACCAAGGTGCCGTTCTGTACGCAAACAGACGAAAATGGGCGGGTCAGGTAATGCGCATGAACGACATCCGATGGATAAGAGCCGTTAGTGACTGGATTCCTCGGGATGTCAAACGTACTGCAGGAAGACCGACCCGATGGTCAGAGTTTTCACGAAAACCCTGGAATAAAGACATGATACTCAGGGAGTCCCTAGAGCGAGCAGGTCCCACTGGGCTACTCTTGCGCGCGACGTGGAAGAGTAGAAAATTTAGTGGTTCCCGCTCAGGTCACTCGACAATTAATAGGGCTATAGGCGACAGGTGATACAAATTAGAGAAAAAACAAGATAAAATAAAAGTATACAGATAATAACCAATAAAAAGGTTCTTCCTAATTGTTTTACGCACCATTTTCGCGAAAAATAGCTGGTGCAAATTTGTTCACTGACAATTTACACTGAAAGACCATAAGAAAATATTGGAAGCATACGAGTATGGGAAGAAAAAATACAGAGTTAATGAAAACCGCTGAAGAGAATGGAGCATATTTTAGAATTTCCTTGACTATTCAAACATCTTTGATGACGTTGGAAAATCTGAAGCAAAGATGAAAGAATGGAAGTTAATCTGACATAGACATGTTGGTAGTGAATAAGAGCGCCAATGCATGAAGTTAACGATCGAGTTTTTTTTCTGCCGCAAATACAACAAAAGATTTCTGTTGCATAGGTTCGACTTTAGATAACTGAAAATTCCAAGTGCTTAGGTGTTAGGACTTTTCTTTGTTCATATAAACACTTCAATATAAGCGAGAAATACGACAAAGTAATTGATAAAGTGTTAAACCGATTGACTAAACGTTTTTTTTAACGAAATTCGTTGAATGTGCAACGATTGTTCGGCCATATTAAGTGATAACGGCATGTTGATAATCAGTGAGGCAGTGAAAAGAATGCAAGGCGTATTGTTCAAAAAAAAAAGAAGAAAAAGAAACGCCGTCAGTTGATTGACACCGCTGTGAGACAACAATGGAGTTCGTTCCAGACCATCTACGCAAAAAGTGATGACGATTCTTGGTATTCAGATTGCAAAAAGCCTTCAGAAATACCGTAAAAACTTACACTATCAGGCCTTGGATATCATAACGGCTCCAGTAACGCTTTTTCTTCTATTTTCACTACTCTGGTTAGAAATATCCTTGTTGCTCACGATGAATGCTGGTTGAGCGTGATTTTTGTAGATTGTCGACCAGTTGGAGATTTGCCGCCATGTGGCCACGATTCTGCTTGGACGATAGCGATTCATCCGACTAATCGACCAAGACCTGTTTAAAAAAATGTGGAAGACTGAATCTTCTTGGTACTGAATACAGTAGAAATTTTTGTCTACTTCGGAGTGCAAGATTTTTTCATTAGTAACCTTGAGTATTCCTTGACTTCTTCGTATACCATGTTCCCCATTAAGATCTATTTTTGTTTAATAATACAGATGCAGTTACTAAACGAGAAAAACCGCTCGTTACAGCGATATCCTGCGGAACAAAAGAGGATCATCAAACGAATTCGAATTCTTGTTGCCCACAGATTAAGATCCGGAGCTCACTCACTACGTAAATTTCAGTTATTTCATTTGAAAAAGGATGCAAATATTTACAGATATTTAAGCGAACTTCTATGATGCATTGAAAATCCCCCAGATATCTTTATTTAGCAATATCTATATTACGTCAAAACGTAGCCTACAAAGATAGAGAAAATAAAAGATACATACAGATAGATGTACAAAATACAGACACAGAAA